TGATCTCATCCTAGTTCCTTATTTATATCCTGATTACATATTTTATGATTTATAAGTGTAATATATGTATAAATATTTATGATAGCAATTAAATATAATATGAAATTGATATTTAATAATTTAGTATTGTAATTTTTACGGAGAAATTATAAAGTAGTTACTACTTATACGGCAAACGTATGTAAAAATTAAAGATCTTGATGCAATACTTAAAAAAAAATGTAGTTTGTTATTTATAAATAAATTTACTGGTCTACAAGGAATTTTCATCCAAGATTAAAATATACTTTCCTAAACCCATTTTTGCGCCGATATAAATCTGCAATTAGAGTTTCGCATATGGCCTAAAGAATTATAATAACCTTCTAATTAATATAACAGATATTTGTGTTTGAATATTAGGTTACGTATGAATAATCAATAAATATATCTTAATTAAAAATTAGTTGAAAAGTTTTTTTTTCAGTATGCTTTTTTATGTTTTTAACCCACCTGTATAAAGGGAAATGATTTCAAAAAAAGTATGTCGAATGAAAGAAATATATAACTAATATGTTTCATGAAAAATTGTAATGATCCATACATTTTTCAAAAAGTTATAGTATTATAAATTTAAAAATATAACAAATCAATTTTTTTTTATTGACTTTGATTTTGTTTTCACCATGAAAACACATTAAAAGTCCGAATGGATTTAATTATTTTTAAAAAAGTTATGGCAGTTTTAAGTAAAAAAATTGAAAAAAAAAATGTCAAAAATAAGCAATTTTAAATTTGTAATTTTTTTTGGAGATTTCGCTCATTTAAGGGGAACGAGGGAAATTTTTTCAATTTTGAGGGTAATATCTTTGACTAGATACGATTTGCGATCTTTTAACGTATTTTATCAAAATTGGTCCAGTGAGAGCTTAAAATAAAACCAAAAAAAAAAAACACATCATAGTAAAATTAATATCTTCTCAGTTTCGCATCGAAGCTAAAAGTATTTACATGGTATTTTAGGAAAGTATTCTACACAAGCATATTATTAACCTATCTGTGCATTATAGTTTTATTTTTATAAAGATAATTTGAAATTTTTTAATGCTATAACTAAATGTTAAGTTATAGTTACCCATACCTATAAGTGAGATAAACTACAAATAATATCACCCAACCTTTTTTCACTATAAATTAAATTTATCTATCTATAAATTTTTAATAAAAAATTAATAGATTTTGGTAATAGGCAATTTTTGCTTTTCTTTTAGGATTTATATCAATATTTAATTTCTATTGGTATACTTCTTATTTTCAATTTTCTTTAGGATTCCTTTTTATTTATTATAATGGAATATCAAAGGTAATTTTTGACGACACGGGTACAGGAATCTGACGGAATCTAGTGACGCCCAATAAAACATACTTAAATTATCGTAATTTTTTAAAAATTTATTTGTTTCTCGTAACATAATAAATCAAAATGGTTGTTTTCATATATATATTATAACAATTGTGAGTAACAGACAATGATAAAATAAATTAATATTACAAAAAGTAATATATTTTTAAATCAACTTGTAAAGACGTGAAATACTATATCAATCGATAAATCATTTCTGCTATTAAATTTAAATGGTTGTGTATTTTTATTTTTGAAAATAATATTACTAATACTTAAACGTCAATTAATTATATTTTTTTTATGTATTATCTACATACATTTTGAGTACAGGCGCGATGAACAAAAATATGTATTACGTTTAGTAAATAAAAAACAAATTTACGTAAATGTAACTGCGATGTTAATATTAGACTTTTTAGATAATTTATATATATAAATGTGATATGACAATTTAAATAAATACTTAACCAACTACAAACACCCAAATTTTCTTAAATGGGAACTCCTATTTTAAATTAATAATATAATATATAAAAAAAAAATTACAAATAACTTTATTCTTGCAATTTTTGTTCTTAGATTGTTTAAAAATTTGGATGTTAAGTAAAATTTCATCATCCATTTGACTTTATGATACTGGTAGCAACAATAAACTATTTTGATAGCGACAATGTAATGTTGTTATCTCTCATTTAGATAATAGTCGTGAATAAATTTTTCTCGATAATTACTATAATAATTTAATTTATGGGCTATCATAACAAATTATTGTCACTGTGGTAGTATCAATAATACTGTTGCACTGTCACCGGTATTATAAAACCAAATGAAAGATGAAATTTTACTTGACATCCAAATTTGTAAACAATCTATAAAACGCAAATAGTTGATCGCATAAAAAATATTGCAAGAACAAAAATGTTTATAATTTTTATTTCTGTCATATAATAAATTTAAAAGTAAGGGTTCCCATTTAAAAAAATAATAAGTAAAGATTTGTATTCCCAAAGGGACGAAAAAAAAAATGATTNATAAGTAAAGATTTGTATCCCCAAAGGGACGAAAAAAAAAATGATTTAACTACATATTATTGTATAGTTTCTTAAATCTTAATAGTATTATGTTTAAGAAATGTTTACAAAAATCAAACATTCTCTTTAACTTCTGATAAAATGGGTGTCTTACCAGATTTCAATGACTTTCTACATAAATCTTGCAAGATATTTACTGTATTGCTGGTTTTATTTATCCTTTACCATTTACGGAATGAAAAAATAATATAATTTTAATGTACAGTAGAAGTCCGAAATCCGGCATTCAATAGTCCAAAATGCCAGATAGTCTGGCATCGCTCCGGAAAATTTTAAACATTTTGGTATTCTCCAAAAAAATGCCTTTAAAGCAAATAAAAACGATCAGGAGCTATTCGGAAGTTTTCAGGGTATTCGGGATCATCCGGACGAATTTACAATAGAGCAGAAGACTAATAACCGACAATACGTAGTANAGACGGCCTCAACATTATTGTTCGGAAACAATTAGCGGTCGGCTAGTCTCAGCTATCACAACAAATACAAGTGCAGTACAGTTAATCAATCACAAAGCGTCTTCGCTATTTTTTTGTGCGTTGTTGTTTTGTGTCCTTTTACACTGTAGTAAACTGTGTCTCAGCTACAGTGCTTCNAGACTAATAACCGACAATACTTAGTAGTGGACATAGTAGTACTCGGACCGGTCTTATTTTATCATATTTACGCATATGACAAAACTAGACCGGTCCGAGTACACTGAACGCGCGCTTAAAATTTGATAACAGGAAGTTGTATTAGACGGCCTCAACAGTATTGTTCGGAAACAATTAGCGGTCGGCTAGTCTCAGCTATCACAACAAATACAAGTGCAGTACAGTTAATCAATCACGAAGCGTCTTCGCTATTTTTTTGTGCGTTGTTGTTTTGTGTCCTTTTACACTGTAGTAAACTGTGTCTCAGCTACAGTGCTTCAGAAATTATTGATCTCCATAATTATTAGATATAAATTTTATACTAAACGCTTAAAGTCAAGAAAACAAAAAGACATTCGTGACTTTTTTAAATCTAAATGAAATATGTATTACAGTACTTGCACATAAATTACATGAAATGTATAACAAACTTTTTTGTATTTTTAGTTTAATTATTAACCTAATTGTTCTTATAGCAAAGCCTACACTAAAAGGAAAGGGCACCGCCCGATAGACCGGAATTTTCGATAGTCCGGCACGGAGACGGTCCCGAACGTGCTGGATTATCGGAATTCTACTGTACATTGCGTTGTTCTTTGGATCTGAAAGGGTTTAAATATTATTGATGTTGAAAACTAAAAAATAAGTTAGTGTATTAATCAATACTTTGTCATAAGGTTGGATTTTCAGCCAATTAAAACTTTCGCGATCAATGGACTAGTTTTTGACATGTCAAATGGACAAAAAAATTTGTATTATTTTTTATTTTACTTCACAATTAATTAAATTTGTCGTATAAATTTTATTTTGGTACTACACCAATGTCGTAGTTATAGGTAGATAATTGAGATAGATCCCCCAAAATTATTAACATGGTAATCATATCATTTTTTCGTTTGGAGGGGATGTGAAAATTTTTCTGAAGTATATCCCCTTGCAGAACAAAACCATAATTACGCTACTGTACTTTACTAAATAGTATATTAACCACAATTATTGGACACTAAATTAACTTATTAAAAAATAAAATTAATTTCATAAAACAACAAATAATTAAACATTTTTTATTGTTTACAATTTTTATATGACTGTTGTATGGAATTTTTACGCCAATTCCGAATCTACCGATTTTTTCTATCACATCAATTTTTTAAGATAATTACTAATTCAAAGTAAAGTAACAATTACATAATAAAACGGTCATAAAATAACATAAATTTATTCTTTTTATTTTATTAACTTTCCTAAAATTAATTCATATTTTAACACTTGCGTCAAGAATGAAAATCGGTATTGTATACGATAAATTGATTTATGGCACTTTGGTCTTTGAAAAATTTAATTCTCATTGAAGACACGGAATTTTTATAGCTGAAAATTATAATTTGATTATAATTTATATTTACTATATATCTTTATTTAAGCATAAATGTATTTTTTAAGTTTTAAAAATGTTTTCAAAATACCCTAGTTAATTTTAAAGGACACTAACTAGCTTAACATTTTTCTGAATTAAAAAAATTCTAATTTGTTTTTCTATTACAATGTACTTAACTTAGTCTACAATAAAGTAAGAAAAAAATCATTTTATGAACAATATTATAAGCAATATATTTCTAGATCTTAATCAAAATCTCTTTTAAAATAGTGAACAATATTTATTATTACATATTGAAGATAATTTAATTTCAGTAAAATCACTAGTTTCAAAATTAAAATAAATAGTTATGCTTTTCATTAAAACCAAATATTGTTTAATATCATTAATTTTGAAATTTATGTTTGTTATGATATACAATAACCAATGTTGTCAAAATAATATAAACTATTTAATAGTTACTTCTTTATACTAATAAATTAGGAATAATTTTTAACATAAATGAACAACATAAATTCATTGAACTTTCGACTTTTATAAAGTCATTATAAATATAATTTAACTAAATACTAATATAATAATTTTAATAATTCACTGTATCAGTTATAAATTATAAGTCTAATAATTTAAGTCTATTTCGTTTAAATTCAATTAGACTTATTAAGCTTCACAATACAAAAAATTAATATAATAGTTATAGATAGATAAAGCTATTTAGTAGGGATTTTATTACATCATATTTTAAAGTAACCATAAATTTTTATAATCAACAATTTTTTAGTTATCATTTGGTACCAATAGTCCAAGACTTAATTTGGGTTGCATGGCACTTAGATAACTTTGTTCATCTCCACGAATACTTAAGTTAACTTCATCAACTTTTTTGTGTGCCATCATAGGAGCTCGTTCCCATTTAGAGCTACTACAATTCTTACATGAAATTAATGGAAACATTGTTAAGCAGACTGTTCTAGAATTGCAATCCCCACATTTGAAAAAGCGTTTTGTTGCATCAGTTACACGTAAAGCATGTTTTTGTGCTTTACACCACTCAGACGCTGAAAACCATGTGTATTTACACACTATACAACGAACAGCTTTGCATGGCATTTTATAAGTATTCATCATTTTTTGTTCTAATTTTTCTTTTCTATCCATATCATCAAAATATTTATCTTCAGCTTCTTGTTGAGCAATATCAATTAATTCTTGATTTTGAGAAGTAGAGTTCATCAATTCTAAAAATCTCTGAGATATTTTTTCTTCTTTTGCAACTTTTTTTCCATTTTCTAGATCAAGTACAATATCTTCAGGCATTTTTCTTTTTTTTCCTCCATTATTTTTTTCAAACAAATTTGGATTTTCTTTTTGAATAGGTCCCTTAGATTTGATATATTCTAATGCATTTGCTTTAGCACATCGTTTTCTTTGAGATCCAAAATTATTTGAACTAGTTGAATTACCTAACAAGTCTTTAAAAGTACACATTGGTGAGGCTTCTTTATAGTCTAGGTTTTTTTTTCCAGATCCAGTAAGTTCATTGGTTTTTAAGTTATCAACAAACTCACGGATAGCAGTAGATCGTCTACTAGCCACTGTAGTAGAAGATGGAATACTTAATGGGTTAGCTAAATTAACAGTATTTTGTTTATTTGCAGGTGTCAATCTTTGAAGCTTAGCTTGATCTTCTTTCATTAATTTAGAATGATTGGCTTTAGTAGAAACAAAACTCTTTCCTCCATAAAATACTTCATTTTTACCTAATACCTAAATAAAATTAAGTAATTAGTATAAAGATAAAATATATGTAATAAAAAAAGTATTCTATGCATATCTATTAAAATTTTATTATTTTCTAGACGAAAATTCAAATATTTTTACAAAAGTTTTAAAAAAAATTGTTGAAATGGATTAATATTTAAACATTTCTTGACTAAATTAAAACATATAGTATCCATATTTTTACATAATTTAGTAGTATACTAAAAAAATTATGTAAACAAAAACATTTAACAAATTCCACCAAGTTCCATAATTTTTACATTAAAATTCTCTCCACCCAGAAGTAGCATTTTTGTTTTTAAAGTATCATATTATCAAAGATTAGACTATATTATAAAAATATTATACTTTAGGTTTCTTAGTATTATAAACATTTGATGAATTTTTATGAAAATTATCATTTAAATCTTGTTAAAAATAAAATACAAGATATTGAAATAATTTAATAATTGAATATTATACTTTTGGTTTTGTACAGATAGTTTATTATATAAAACTAACTTTATCACGTAAACTATGAGCAGCTGTTGGTCTTGAGTTGCCAAGATTAGCTCTTTGACCACAGTGTTTTATATATTCTCTTTTTACATGGTAAGTACAAACATCACAATCGTTAATATTAACAAACATATCACATTTTTCTCCATTTTTCTTTACACCCTTACAAGTTCCATAATCTTTAGATCTACCCCACACCATAACTTGATCACCACTGTTAATAGATAAAGTAATTCCATCTTTGCGATCTTTGGAATCAAGTTCTAAAAATGAAAAAATGTTTAAAAAAATTAAAAATACAATTATATTTATAATTATATACCTTTAGGATTAAGAACACCAACAACAGATCCAATATCAGTTTTCCACAAATCAGCATGTGACTTACCAAATAAAAATAGAGTAATTGTATTCATTCCTGGTTTTAAATCACTAAGTTTCCATATACTAAAAGTAGTACCTAAAATTAAAAGAAATTCTTTTAATCCACAGCAATAGAACCAAATGTAAAAATATATAATATAATTTTTTAAATCTTAATTTAATATTAAGTATTTAAACTTTAAAAGTATAAATATTGTTGTACTTAGAATATAAAATGATAATCGTGATTAAATATCTTGTGTGGCCGACTTTATAATCTATTTTATCTACTACAATTGTTTAGTATATCAAAAAAAATTCCTACCTTTTTGAGAAGTCTTAGGTAAAGATTTATTGACTAGAACACCAGCAATTACCCAATCTGAAGAAATATCACCTGAAGTAACAAAGGTTTTCACTCTACTAACTGGAACAGGAGTTTTGTTACTCATATTATCTTTTATTGCTTGTGATGATAATATGGGATTTATAATTCGTAAACCAAAAATAGGATCAACAGAAGGATCAAATCCAAATTTTGGAGTTTTGGGAGTAGATTCTTTATTAGTCGTGTTATGCTTATTTGTCGGTTCATGCAAGTCCACAATTTTAGGTTTATGAACTGAATTTAGTGATTTGAAAAAGTCACTGAAAGTTCCTTTGGCAGGCTCTTTAGGTTCATTTAGTGATTGTTTTACAGTAGATTCGACTTCCTCTAAAATTTAATTTATTTTAATTCAACTAAAGAATAAATATGAAAATACACTTACTTTTTTCCAAAAAATTATGTTTGTTAATGTTACTATCTGGGAAATCTAATTCTTCAGTTTCTAAAAACTGAGCAAGAGCTTTGAAATTTTCATTATCGCTATCCATGTCGTCGTGAACAATTTACAAATATTAATATTCAATATAGGACAAATTGAAGCTTAAAATTCCATAAATGAAGTGGCTTTTTTACAAATCATGGTTCTTTACCTTCAGACTTACTTATTATCACTTTATAATTTTTGGCGGTAAATGTAATTCCTTTGATAACAAAACGTGTACAATAAGAATAGTAGCGGCATCTAGTAGTAGACTGTACTTTATATTTTTTTCTGAGTCAAGCCATTTTTATTCATAATTATGCCTGTATCATTCAATCTTTGATTCGCTAATTTCAGAACTTGTAGTATTGACTAAAAACAGAAAAAATTTTTTTTATTGATTTATAAATAGGTATTTTTTTCCTTAATCTATAAAAGATGAGAATGGTATTGACACAACAAAAAATGTATGTGTTGTTGACAAACATTTTATATAGCAAAAGAAGTCTGTAAATAAAATTAATTAAGTGATCTATTAAGAAAAAGGTACTCCAAAAAGTGATGAATAAATTAATAGTGATCAAAAGGAAATTATGTAAACTGTGTATGGTCATGACAATAATTGAGGGACCAAACGCCTTTATTGGCGGTGCTAATCAACATTTTAATTAAAATATGACCTATAAAAATCTCAACAGATATTTTTTTTTGATATTAGCTCTCCCTAATAAAAATTACTGAGAACGCCTTTGTATTTATTAAACTTAAAATTGTAATTTCTACATTTTAGTTTAAAATTGTTGCACACATTATGTACTAAAATAAAATTGATTTAGTCAAATTAAAAGGAATACAACGAATTTTATTTTAATAATAATTTTATTGCATAAATCATTTTTTTATGAACACGCTTTGTAAATAATAGTCTAGTTTTTAGCTTTCTTTATATATTATACTGAGTGAAACTCTAAAGGGTTACCTAAGAATAAGTCACTCATTGTCATGGAAACTATTGAGAATTTAACATTTTTGTAAAGAGAAAATATATTGGGCTCCAAAATGTCTACAATAATATGTGGTTACATAATACCTTTTTTTGTCTCTTCAGGGTTTAATAAACCTTAACTTTAATTTCCTTTAATGGAACCTCTATTTATAAAATGATTATATGATTTATTACATTATTTATAAATGTTGTAACGTATCAGATAGTCCATCAAATAAAACAAATTATAAGAACAAAAATATTGTTATTATTTTTCTATCATACAATGAATTTATAAATAGGGGTTCCCAATAAAGAAACTTAAAGTCAAGATTATTTGACCCCGAAGGAATAAAAAAAATATTACTGTAGAGATTTGAATAAAAATGTTTTTTTCCTTATTAAAATATGGTTTGGTTCAAAAAACTACAACATTATGCATGTAGTTATAGCATTTTTTTCATCGCTTCAAAGACAAAAAACCTAACTTATAGTTTTCTTCAATGGGAACTCCTTTTTAGTTAGATAATATAAAAAANTCCTTATTAAAATATGGTTTGGTTCAAAAAACTACAACATTATGCATGTAGTTATAGCATGTTTTTCATCGCTTCAAAGACAAAAAACCTAACTTATAGTTTTCTTCAATGGGAACTCCTTTTTAGTTAGATAATATAAAAAAGACAAAGTGAAGTTACAGCTTAGTTGAGACAAGTATAGGTGATATTTNAAGACAAAGTGAAGTTACTGCTTAGTTGAGACAAGTATAGGTGATATTTGACAGTGATTAACATTACTATCATGAAAAACGCTTCGATATGAGTCTGTTAAATCCACAATAATTTGTATAATTATAATGTCACAAATTCTACGTTTTGTTTATTTATCTGCTTTTTTTTTATATCGCACAAGAAAATGCGCGAATGATTTATTTTTTTAAATACACAGCAGTGTAAACATCTCATTATTTCTGCCGTTGACCGCTAGATTTGGCGACAAGGAAGAATAAATATAATTAAAATCGAATTGTTTATCAACATGGATCACTTCTAAAAAGACTGGCTGATATCATTTGAAATTGCCGTTAGCTCTTCTTCGGTCCTTTTGTCATTGCCGTGTTAGAGTGCATATATTTTTGTTTTTCGTCACTGTTGTTTTCAATAATAGAGTAGAGCCGCGCAACGAAGATCGGCCAGTTTTTTCAGTAAAGCATCTAGACCATTGGATGGGCCCTTTCAGAGTCCGGGTATCGTTTTCTTTCTTTATAATTATATCTATTTAATGAGTTGTGTTTTATTAATTATTTTATTTCATTTTGTTTTATTATAAACTAACTATTTATTTATATCACTTTTATTAATGTGCACGTGTGTCTTCTAGCCAACGCTAATGAGCGAGTGTCCAGACCTCTCCTGGTATTTTCATTATTTTCCGATTAACCTTAACGGATGTGTTCCAATACAGTTCGTGATGTTTGTTATATTATTCAATTTTGTTAAAACATTTTATTTTATATTTGTTGTCGGCCATTTTTGTAGACATGGTTTTAATACATTCATATTTTTGTCCATGTTTAACTTGATTTTATTTTTCAATATTTAANAGCCAACGCTAATGAGCGAGTGTCCAGACCGCTCCTGGTATTTTCATTATTTTCCGATTAACCTTAACGGATGTGTTCCAATACAGTTCGTGATGTTTGTTATATTATTCAAATGTCGGCCATTTTTGTAGACATGGTTTTAATACATTCATATTTTTGTCCATGTTTAACTTGATTTTATTTTTCAATATTTAAATTAATTGCCTTATTAATCTTATCTATAATATATGTTTTTATTGCACAAGTAGCTTAAGTGATTGCTATTTTATTCCTGTTCCTTAATCTAGACACAGGCTACGATATGTTTTACATACCAACCACATAAACAATTCCAACTATCATAGTTTATGGTTTATAAATCACAATTATTTATATTTAACGACATATTTACTCAAATTTCAATCATTAATTAATTTAAAATTAAATTTAACCTATGGTCAGGTAATCATATTTAATAGGTCTGACACTTGACCTAGATGGTAGCAACCCTTGCTACCCCATAGTCGTTATACAAGAAACAAACTACGTTGTTGCTGCAGGTCAACAAAAAGTCCACTTACAAAATATTAGATACTTTTAAAATTATCAGCTTAATTTAAAAAAAAATATTTTTTTTTAATAACAATTTTTTTTATTTAACAGCCGATTTCTCATAGTATAACAATCGTAGAGAATGTTTTTTTTGTAGTACACTTCAAGAGCTGTATTCCTTTAAAAAGGTTAATTTTTCGAATTTTTTCAACATTTTCAATAGTTTCCCAGAAAGTAAGTTTTTAATCTTAAATTAATCATTCGGTATTTTTATTTGAAAATGTTAAGCATTCATTTTTAAAATAGGTTGACTGGTGTTCGGATTACGTTTTTTATATAAAACATTTTAATTTATGATTTAAAATTTTGATGGTAAATTTAATAATACACTACAAAATAATTGTTTAAATATTTGTTGACTTGGTTCCATAACTAAATGTATAAATGAACATACATACGTGATATAATAAATAAATTCATACAGATTTAAAAAATACAAAAATTGTCTGTAAAATTAAAATATCTAAAAAACGTTATTCAATAAAATTAAAAATCACAGAAATGATATGTTCAAAATTTATCTATGTTTTAATTTTCTTAATGCCAATTTATGTCAAGTATTTTACGGAGGCTAAAAAAGCAGCAAAATCAGTTATCCTCAGACATCTTTTTAAAAATGATGGATGGAAAAATTTAAATGACGTAAGTCAAGTAACAATTTTAGGTTGTAATTATCATTTAAATGATATATCTGAAAAGGATATTGATTCTTCAAATGCTGACAAACGAGTACGAATTGCTACAATATTCCTTGCGGCTTCACATGGCAATGTTTTAAAAAAATTATTCTACATTGTTGATAAATTTCGAGAACATTGTGATGACTTATTAGAACATGATTATATAAAATTATATAATATATTTAATAATATTGATGAACATGATAAAATCAATTGTATAAATAAATTATTAAACACAATACAAAATATATTATTACTGGCAAAGAAAATGGAAGGAGCAATAGATGCTATAGATGATATGCATAGTAATTCATTGAAGACGTCAATAAGATATAAGGAAAAGTACATTTTAAAAAATATGTTCAATGAATTGCAAAATTTTGATGATAAATTACAATCAAAGGAGCCAAACAAAACTACTTTATCGTTTATAAAAACTTTTTTTTCTGGGAGAATTAGAGAAATAATAAAGAGTACACGCTCGTTTGCTAGTTTGATATTTGAAGATCGCGAATTATTCATGGACAGTATAATGAAAGAATACAAGGAGAATCCATCGGAAGATACTGATGGACATAAATTAAGTGTTCATCTTATTACAAAAATAAATGAAATTATTGAACATACGGTTCAAAAAAAGATTTTTGAGCTAGGTTTTAAGTATAATGTAATAACCGGCGAAGTTTACATAACGACATCATGCGAAGATATTGAAAACGGTAATTTTATTTTAATTACATAACATAATTTATATTTTTGAAAACTTAAAAAAGTTATCCAAATGTTTTAAAAATAGTTTAATAATAAAATGATATAGCAGTTTTAAGATAAAAAAAAAAAATATATTTATTGAATAAAAGAAGTGTTTAATTTATTTTCAGATATTAGACTCAATTAGTAGACTTATTAAATAAACATACTATTAAGGTACTAAAGTATGTGCATATATGGTATATTATAGTGAAAAGGCGCAAATAATAAAAAAAATTTGGGATGCTAAATGTAATTTCCTTATAATATTTTTACACAATCATTAATATAAATTTATTTCATTTTTGCTGGTGTGAAGTAATCAAAAATCTCTTATTTACACATATGCTTTGCTGATTTTAATAATAGTTCAAAAAGAATGAGAAAAATAGAAAATGTTCGATAGGATATTTAATTTCATACTAATTCAATTACGTATTACAAAAACTAAAAGTGGAAATCTTATTAAAAAAAAAATTATACCTTAACTTTGATCGTTTTAATAACAAATTAAAGTAATACATTCATACAAATGTTACACATAAACTTACAGGGACGTCCGGGAGTCTAGAAAGTGCCACAGAAACCCCCGAAATTTTTCGTGTCACAATTAATGATAAATCTAGCTCATATCATAAAATAAATTATACATTTATTAAAATACATTTGAATTTTTGTCAGTATAAAGTAGTTTCTATGATAAGAATTACTAACAGAATTCTAAATACCAAAGACGTTATTCGATGTTAATATATTATTTTCGATGACATTTTTTTTATTAGAGGTTTGTGTCCTAGTCCCTAATAAATACACCCTTAGAGTGCAAGGAAGAGCATAGATGACATATATTGTTGTCAATCATTTTCACCTACTGGGATATTTTTCTGCGGTCTGTTAGCTTTATACTTGTTTAACTTACTGTTAAATTTAATATTAATTTATTAACATCACAATAGTATTAGATACCGAAATTATATTCTTTATGTGTATTAACTTAACTAACTATAATCATAAAAATTCTGTAGACTACAAAAAATATATAAGGGAAACATTTTTTTTAATATTATAGTGAAATTGTCGTTTTCAATATTTGTAAATATTTCATGTTATTTAAAAACTGAAAAAAATTCTGGAACAGTTCAGATATCTATACTAATAAATATTTTTTTTATTAAGGTAGGTAAAACTATTGAATTTTTAAAAAAGTACAAATAAAATTATATTTACAAAAGTTTTAAATTACATGATTTTAAATTGCATGAGCATTTGAATGTACATTATTATTGTTATGTAGAAAGTTGCAGGCGATAATTGATTGTGAATGGTTTTATAATTATCATGAAACTACAATACCATTTAATAATTGTTTTTATGTATAATATTTTATAAACCAATAATGTTCTTTAGACTTAAAAAATTATAAAAAAAAAAAATTTTTATAATGTATCTATTATAAAATACATTTTCTATATCGTGGACTAGTTTTAATTTTTATAAATTTCAACAGTAAATATTTCGTCATTTAGAAGATGAAGAAAATTATGGAAATATTTAAACATTAACGTCAATAAATTATCGTTTTACTATAGAAGATAAATTCGTATAAATTTACTTTTTATAATAAAGTAATCAGTAATAATAATCAATCAATAATACATTAACGTATTCAGAATCAATAGTTTAATTAAAAAAAAATGTACCAAGTAGCATACTAATGATGCGACTAGAAACTTTTATGATGAGACTATAATTTGAAATAATTTTGTTGATCATTTTTTTCATTTTTCTTTAAAATTTCTAAAAATTACCAAAATTCAATTAAGAGGTAGAAGTAAAATAAAAAACATTTGTACTTTACTTTTCAGTCAAATTTTTAAACCCCCCTCCCGAATTTTTTTTTTTTAAATATGACACCGTTATAATGGTAATTTCTAAATTGTACAAACAATAATAAAAATTAATGTTTATTATTTTCCATGAATAATAATTTAATTAAACATTTTTTTTTTTTATACAAATATATAGAAAGTAAAAGAAATTCTGAAGAATAAAATAAATACAGCACCACAAATACAGTTTAATTAATTAAAATAAGGTACAATATTTATATTATTGAATATAATATTTCGAAAATTCATATACATTATTCACATTTTTTCATAACATATTTTATAATTGTTTGTATTACATTTAATATTAATTTTATGTGCTTTTCAGGATTAAAAAAGTATGAAAAAGACGTTAGTTAACCATTTCTTGGTAGATTTTTAGAAAATAAAGAATCATTAATTATATTTTTAAATCAATTATATATATATATTTAAATATTTTTTAATAGATACAATTTGTAACTCTAATTAAATTGATTTTTACTGATTGAAATGTTTTCTCTTATTTACACATCTGTCAATATTTTTATCTCAATTTTAATACAGAGTATTACACAAGTGAGAGTAAATTCATATTAAAATAAATTGTATGCAGCAGCAATTCTGAATAAAATAGCAATTCAATTTGAAAATCACTTCATTACGTATCGTTCTAAAAACATACTGAAAAAGAAATATAAGTCCGACAATTTTTTTGTTATTAAATCAATAATATTTTCGTTTTTCGTATAATAATTGTTTGATTGATAAACAAGTTATTCTCCTAACAAACATTTTTGTTTGATTGACAAAAAAAAAAATCGCGGGATGTATATAACATTAAATTTATTGAATTTATAAGGATTAAAGTTTAAAAAGATTGGTAAAAAGGAAATACGAGCAAGACCATTCATGTGTACGAAGAGAGTATACAGTAGTGTTTTTGTTGTATACCACCCAAAACACCACTGGGAGTATAGTATGTCCTCCCAATTAAGCTGAATAATATATTGATATAGTAGCTTTTTTATAAAATTTTTGCATTTTTTGTGAATCTAAAACTTAAAATTTTGATACTTTATATTTATTTTATTTAGTAAAGGCCTTTTATTAATTTTTTTAGTATTATTTTTTTTTTGAAAATTATAAACACTTTTAAAAATCGATACAATTTAATAGAATATTAAAAACACTTTTAGAGCTATAAACTATTTCAGTTTCTATTGTATTAATCGTCAATTCTTGTAATTTCTAATAGATGCGAATAAAATAATGTGCATGATTTTTTCCTATTATAACGATTAATAATAAATGCTATGAAAAATATATTTTGCTTATTGTAATGGTCATTGTTTTAATACTAGTTTGTATTATACTTTTTCAATACATCCCTTGATTTAAAACCCACTTATACATAAACTGCTATTAGTAGTTTTTTATTTCTATTCAAAACTGTTGACAACATTTATCATCACACTAAGTATCGCAGTACTAGTATTGTTTAGTGTGTACATATCTGTTTTGCATACCGATAAAAAAATCTGTACCAAGTGCATTTAGGTGCCTACATGTTTTGTTAGGATGGGGATATACAGGATTCAATAGTATTCTTCGGTGATGGTATTACTATTTTTTTAGTGAACAACGGGTGATAAAGGTACATAGAGAAAAAAATCTCCTCTTATTTGTCCGATTAAAGTTTGTGTGCATTGTTTAAAAAAATGTTTCCTATGGAATATAATACGCTGATTGTACTTAAATTGAGAGTATAGTGGGATACATCACTTAAAAAAAATTATATTACAGCTGCTCCTAACTTATTATTAATTTACATATAAAAAGTTTTTTTTAACAACAGCCTTATATATAATCATAGATAAAAGGTCAAACATCACTGACTTAAATTTTGTTTGTAGTTCTAAATAAATTATGAAAACTAAGAAGTTAGCCAGTTTTATAGAACAATTCATTCATTCAAAGCAATGATCAAATAACAGCCAAAAGTTATTAAAAAAAAAAAATAATTAATATTTGTTAAACAATTTTTTCATTTTTATTAAACAAATTAACATATTTTACACCTTAACACTTTTGAGAATATTTTAGGCTAAACTCACCCCTAAATAACCATTTAATGTTAGTTAAAAAATTTTCTAAAACAATGACAAATAATTTACATTAACTAAATATCAACAGTAAAATTATAATTAATAGAATATTACGTGAAATTTTACATCAATGATTGATCCCTACAATGTTGATAAAACTATGGTCATAGTACATGATCATAAAACAAAGTTTTATGTATTTCAAAATTCGGTAGCAAAGTGTTGTAAGAGCTATAGAAAAATCTGGGAAACCATAAAAATATTAATGAGCACAAGAAACCAAATGCAACTTCTTATTATATTTTTCTCCCAGAAACACAAAATATATTGTATTTTTGTATTTCAGTGAAAATTATATTTCTCCGGAACGCACAACATTACATACAAAAACAGCGCTCTACTTCAATGACCTTAATATATATTATTATACATGGAATACATTACTTGTTAAACATTTCAATTACAGTTTATATAGTTTTCCATCGAAGATAAAAAATAAGTACACTTAATAGCTTTTAAGTAATAAAAGAATTTCTGATAAATTGGCAAATCATATTCTGAATTTTATATAGCTACTTCAAATCTTAATTAATTGAACTACTGGTAAGTTAATTGCTTCATTTTTTAGAATATCTTAGCAGAAATTACAAATAGATGCTTTATAAACTAAAAAAATAAATAAATTGTTTTAACAACTCTAGTGTCTTAAATATTCATAAAATAAATAATTTTTACATTGAAAAAATCTACTAATTAAAAATGTTAAAATAATTTTTTTATGCTTTAAAATAATTTGTTTTTTGATTTCAATAACATACACAAAATATATTATTATAATATTAATATATATGTTATTTAGATTTTTTTTCCCTATAAATACATTTGCCAAATACTATTTAACGTAGAATCATATTAAACTACGATGAATTTACGTTTATTCTAAAAAACATTTTATGTACAAATTCTTATTGGTCAAAATGTATGTAGATGGTTTAAAATAATTTATTATCCCTATAAGTTTTCGAAATTTTCATGAATAGTATTTTTAAAAATTATAAAATAAATCATTCTTGAAAATTACTCCAAAAACATACTTATTTAACCAGTTCATTAGTATAATTTACACACTATAACTAAATCAATTATTTTAATTACCTTACGAATAGAAACCTAATATTGATCATTTTTAATTCAATGCATATCGTGAATATATTTGGTATTGAAAAAATATTGTACCAAACGGTTTTGAGCATTGTTAAAGAAAAAATGGGCGGCCTTTATCATAGACCACGGTGAGGGTGGTAGAGGTTTGATCGATAACTTGAACACGCGAAAAAAAGAAAGGCATTATGTGTATGAGTGGATGTGTAAGGCAGCAATGGATTTATATATATATATTTATTTATGTGTGTTTGCGTGTAGGGGGTTGAACGGCAAGAAATATGGCGACGATCGGTTGGAGGGTTGCAAGTGTATACGCGTGTATGGGGGTGGAAAGACCCTGNTGCAAGTGTATACGCGAGTATGGGGGTGGAAAGACCCTGGGAAAAAAAGGAAAAAACAACCGTTGGCTAATGCAAATGTGGAATTTTCCAGGGTTTTCTTATCGCGAATTTCCCACTACCACCGCCAAAGGGTCTTTTTTTAACTTCTTTTTACTATCCATATCTGACTAAGAGGTATGGTGGTTCAAGGCATATAGTAGCTAAAGAGAAGAGGGATCTTATTACTTCTAGTTTTTTTATTCTCTCTTATATAAGCATAAACCATGTTTTTGTCTTGCGTTCCTAACTGTTCACTCTCTAAATCTCATATTGTCGAAATCTTTATAGTCACCATACACCCTCTTACTTTTGCGACCGCGTAGATTTCGATCCCTTATAGTTGACAATTGGTTTTGGTTATCTTGTAGCTCAGAAGATTTTCTGTGCGATTTTACTTTTACAGCATCATTTGTATTATTATTATAATTTTCTTCAATTGTATTGTTGGCTACTTTTGGCAATAACACTATTAAGATTAAAGTGCACACTAATGGAAACATGAATGGAATTTCGGCATTCGTATAAATCAAATAAGACAAAAATATTAATTTGTGTAGCTGCATAATTTTAACCGACAGACAACAATGAAATAACAGATAAAAAATGAATTATTTTTCATTATATTCTTATTTTTTTTTTTAATTTATTGATAGGATTCAAATAAAAGTTAGCTTGCATATTGTTGAAATTAATTTTTTTTTTAAATATAACGTACAATAAACAGTTATATGCTAAATTGAGTCCCGGAAATCTAAATATCATAAATTCAAAAGCATAATACGAAAATAATCCTTTAAAATATTTAACTAAACACAAATTCTACAATCATTCGGTGCAAAAATAAATTATACTATTTATAGTTCAGTTCAAGAAAAGGAATTCGGAATAAGTTTTAAATATAATTTAATAACCGATGAGGTAACTTATAACTTTATACGAAGATAATTAAACAAAAATTAAGTATTTAATAAATTTTAAAAACGTAAGAAATTTAATGATTTGTTGAAATATTTTTAATTCTTTACTTACTTATTAACTATTGGTTGTAGTTATAATAAAAATAACACTATTCTATTAAAATATCTAAAAAAATTTTAATATAAGATAATATATAAAAGGAGTACTATATAGAATTTGCTTTAAATAAGCTACAATGTTGATTAAATAAAATTAACCGTAACACTAAAGTAAATTCAGTACATTTTAAAACAATGTGCCTTCTTTGACAAAAGGCAACAGGAGACCATTGCATTTAACTTATACTAATTATACTAGTATATACTAGTTTAACTGAAGTTTGCTCTTGTTAAACAAACCCAATGGTTGATTACAGAAAAACAAGATGAACATTATAAAACGACAGTAACGGTAGAAAAGTTAAATAATATTTTCAATAGAATCACTAATATACAAAGTGATTCATTTAACATTATCCACATAATTTTTCTTAAAATAATAATTTTTTGTAAGTTTTTTTACTTTTGTTAATTGTGTATGTATATATATATATAAGTATTTATTTATCTGTTATACAACATTTTTTATGTTTATGCCTTATTTCTTAAAAGGATGTTAACTTTAATTTTTTAAATGGAAACATACATAATTAATTAGCTTATAAAATAAAAAATGATGTAATTAATAAAATATCTGGTTGATGACAACTTTTAGACTAATATTTCAGAAGTTACTAATTTTTTTATATTTAGAGGGGAGATAGATGAGACCGAGTAATATTTAGTGATAAAAATAGCAGCACCTACGTCTCACCTCATCAGTTATTACTTTAAATTGTTAATATATTTTGAAATACTGATCTAAAAATTGTTATCGACCAGTCATTTTCTTAATTACATAATTTTCTATTTTATAAGCTAATTAATTAAATATTTTGTTACCTCAAAAGTATAACTGACATCGTTATAAAACATATCAAAAAATATTTTATAAAAAATAAATGGAAATACATATGTAACTAATAAAAGCATAAACAAAATTATTATTTAAGAGAAATCGAGTAGTTAATATTGAAAGAATCGTTTAATTGAAATACAACATTTAATTAAACAAATAATTTTTAGTTATTAGTACCCTAAAAATTTACCTTCTAACTAAATCGTATTTACGGCTACTATAAATGCAATTATTGTCAGCCACTAATATTTTCACATTGTTATAACAACGTCAAATAAGTTATTCTGTATGAGATTGTTACAGCTTTCATATATTAACATATTATGATCTACAACCATATGTCCATATCTTCTTCAAGATTCTCGTGTACCTACATAGAATTTAGACTTTTGAATTATTTTTAATACTCGTAAAAAAGTGATTCCGAAATTGCCCTCTAATGCCATTTTCAAATTACAACATTAATGTATTATATTCATGTGGGCGTGTGGTCTGCATGTTTTTTATCGAAGGAAAGCTCTTGGGGTTCCGTTATTTTTCTCTTGGTTATTTTTCCTATCCTCGGTCGATTTCAAACTTCTTTGTGCCATTAATTCTCATTTCGAAGAACTTTCCCCTGCCGCCCTTCTGCTCAAAACCGTTAGCCTTCCCTTCCTGCTGTCTTGCCTTGCCGCCTTTTCCACCTGACCGCGCGTTTGCTAACAAAATGACGTGTATAGTCTCCTCGCCTCCCACAGCTGAACACACGGGTCTTCCTCACTTCTCGCTACCACATCTTCCAACCCTCGTAATGGCCTCGGCGCAGATCTCATAAATATTTCCATTAAACTGAGTGAAATTGGTTTTTTTGCAATAACGCCAAAAAGTCCTATATAGATATATATATATATATATAATACTGTGCCGGTGGTGCCTGGAGAGCATGTATTTAAATAAGATGGAAGTTAAAAAAATCGAAAGCATTGTATGGTTATATTATCGCCGTCAACATTTTAAATCTTCCATTCAGGCAGTTGATGACGGTGGTGTACTGACAAACATAATAGGGAGAAAATCAAGAAAAACCGCCTCACCACGGATATATATTTTCTTTGGCGCCAAAATGAATTTCCTCACGTGAATAAAAAAAATGAATTAACTATAAGGCAATTACTACGATTGAAATCCTAATGTTTACATTATAAAATTGTAGCAGCTCATTATTATTAACTTTTTCTTGTTACAAATAGCAAGTACATACATGTAAACTTTTAAATTTTATGTATTTTCAACCAATGAAATAATATTTTTTAATAAAATACGAAATCGAATTCAACTTTATTATTAACATCGCCATGATATTCCCAATTATAATAAATAGTATATTTTACCAACTTGATGATTAAATAAGTATAATGTTATATTATAATTTTATACAACAATTACAAAAATAACATTGTATTTTTTCTGTAAATTGAGAATTTCTTTTTATTTAATATTTTTTTTTCTTGTAAATTATTTATTTCATACTTATAATTTATGTAGTACTCTCTAAAGTCTTTAAAAATATGAATTATTAATTTATGAATTATTATTTATTTTATTTGAGATTTTATTATTCATTCAAAATTTTTCTTATCAAATAAAATTATAATATGATAATGAATTGTTTAGTTTAAAAATTTTATATGATTTTAAAATATATTACTCTAATTTTAATTTTGTAATGTAAATGTTTAAATTGTCAAAACTGTATTAAAATAAAATTATTACAAAATGTTATTCAAAAATAATTGGGTCATTGGGTTGACTAAAGTGCCTGTTTATTTTTATTTGTAAAACACATTTAAGCGATTACACTAATGAATGCGTTTAAAAGTAATTTCCCAGCAAGTCAACAGGTTGACAACAAAAAAGAAAAAAGAATCTTAAAAAAACTGTTTATCGTTAAACGGTGTAATCTTAATGAAAAAAAAACTTTTAAAACTTTAAAATGAGAGGTTGAATAAAAAAGAGGAATGAAAAAACTGTCTGCCTTGTTTCGTTAATTATTATTTTGCCAGTAAAGAAGAGATTGAAGTTGTTCCACCCTTAAAAGTTCTTCTACGCCCTGCGGCTAAGTATCATGGTCCCTTTACTCAATTACTTTTTTTCAGATTTTCTTTTCTTTACTGATTTTTTTATTACTCATTGCCAGTTACTTAATGAAACCTACCCTAATGATGAACGGATTAAGCCATCCCGTCTCGAATTCTCTCTTTTTTGACCTTCACGTTTTTGTTTTTATTCGAGCCTCATTAATAAAACTTTCACGAGTCAACAAACTGATAACTCTTACTCCAAAAATTAATTTGCGTTTTGATAAGACTTTTTACTTAAGCATCTAAAATTTACAAATTTTCTTTTTTACATTACAATTGATACTACAACTAATATAGATTTATGTAAAAATTCGAAATAGCAATATATAACTAAAAACATTTTTATTTTAAGCCAAAGTATTAAAATATTTATATAAAAAATTATTATAGATAAATTTATCTATAATAATACATATTTTATTTTTTAAGTTTAAATGGCATACACAACATCATTTGAGAAATTGAGACGAATAAACATTTTATTGGATAACTCATTCAATTTTACCAAAAGTGCAACTTAAGAAATACTTTATAAACACAAACATATTGCTATTAATCACTAAATGTACGTGGGATAAAATCATGGGTTTTTTTATTTGACTAACTTAAATTAATTATTACTTCCCGTAAAATGAATTGTCATAATGATAGAACTTTTGGAGTCACAAAGTGCAACTTTAAATCTCTAAAGTTACATAAAAGCAATAATGATTGGATAAAATCTTCTAGAAAAAAAAAGTTTTTTTTTTGTTGATACATTCCTCTGTTTCTAAGCACCAAATATATTAAATTGAATTAAATAGTTTTTGAACAATAAAAAATTATTTGTAATTTTTCTTATTGATTTTACTAGGGTAAAAGCAATAACAACAATTACACAAAACACTTATGTTTTACTGCAAGATTAGTGAATTTTAAACAACCCGTAATGTATTAACAAGACAAGCAGGTGATCTCTACCGACTATACGCCTTTGTATCGCTATTGAATAATTTACTTAATAGCCCGGCAGATCAAAAACTTGTCAGGTCTCGTAGAAAGCAATTTTATTTTAATACCCTCTATGAACAACAGCCAATACTCTCAGGCTGTTGGATTGGGCCCCGAGTTATTACTTTTTTTATTTTATCCATCGTAAACGCTATACAAGTTAAAATTGGATGCGTATACACTAATGTGACTGGAAAAAAATAAGAGAAAGAAAACTTACATGCGTATAAGTTATTGGACCGAAAATGGCTTCGGCTAACGTTTCCAAGGAGACCGAGTGCGCATCCAACAGACCGCCTTTCCAGCCTCTCTACAATTACCACCGCCGCTCTTGTCGATTTCGTGCCGTTTGAACTTCATTTCTCGTGGCTACCACCACCACTGCAATGACGAGATTTGAAAATGAAACAATTCTAATATTCTAAAAGTAAAGAACAAAAATAAAAAAATTGGTCTTAAATAGTATTTAATAAAGAAGATGTATAATGTTTATGTAAGATTAAAATAATTTTTATATTCGGTTAATAAAAGACGGCTACATAAAACTTTTTAAATGTTTTATATGACTAANATTTCATTTCTCGTGGCTACCACCACCACTGCAATGACGAGATTTGAAAATGAAACAATTCTAATATTCTAAAAGTAAAGAAAAAAATAAAAAAATTGGTCTTAAATAGTATTTAATAAAGAAGATGTATAATTTTTATGTAAGATTAAAATAATTTTTATATTCGGTTAATAAAAGACGGCTACATAAAACTTTTTAAATGTTTTATATGACTAAAAACAAAAACACTAATAGGAGCTTGAACGCATTTCTCATTTATAGAAATTAGCTTAACACTCAGAATATATAAATATACTCCGTACAAAATGATTACGCAAATTATTCGAAAGAAGTAATTATCTTAAATAAAAGAACTTATTATTGCCATCTTCAATTGTGATGTTTTAAAGTTCTTATAGAATAATATGCATATTATGTAGAAAACTTCGAAAAATATGTTCTTTCCTAAAATAATTATTTTTATCAAAACTACAGGTTTTTTGAGTATGGTAGTATTTATTAAAAATGTTAATTGCTATTATTGACAAATCGTTTACAGTCAATAAAAAAAGTAATTCAGTTATAATTTTATAAAATAACGAGGTTTTATAATGCTATTAGTTATACATAATAACGAAAGTAATTTTAAGTAACCCTATATTTAACTACAAGCACTATAAGGACTTTGTTATAATTCCATTTTTTAATTCAAAAACGTTAAGTAAGTAGAATACTTTATGACACGTGCAGCTTTAACCCAAAATACTCAATAATTATCTTAATACCAGTTATTATTTATAACAACTATAATATTAAAGGTACGTAATAAATAGCTCTAATTTTTCGTAAACTTCAATTTTGTTCAATGGGGTTCTTAACAAGACGGCTAATAGCCAAGCTGACTGTAATTGGAGAATAAATATAAGTATTACCTTGCATTTTGAAAAAAATAATGTTGATTAAACATTCATGGAATGTTTATTGCTGTTTTAATGTCAAATAACTGTTTTTTTCACCGTTATTAAACTTTTAAAATTGAAAGTGCTTGTTGTAAATGAGTTGTTTGTCGAAAAATAGCAACTTGATTATTTTTTGTTTATAATAATTATATAATTATGATTATTATATTTTTAACATTTCTAAAATGAATCTATTTTTTACCATAATAAAACAAAATATAACCTGAAAAAAAATATGCATAGTATACATATTGAGCTATTAACTCGTTTTAAATACATTAAAAAAAAAAATTCCCTTAAAATATTCATAATTTTTAAGTTAATATTTTGTTATGTATCATTTACAAAAATCATTATTTTTTAATAAATTCAATACCACTATTTAGTACAGTAAAGAAAACAAAAAATATATTTAATCGATGAAAGTTCATTTTATAAAACCAAAACACGTATGACTTAATTAAAGTTATAACATTTTATGTTTTTGCAACCGTACAAATTTAAATAAATTAAATCCTTGTTATCTACTTCTACTTAAACTTATAACGGTGTACTTAAGTCCATTTTCAAATAGATTTTACTTGACAGAGAGCGTAGGAACAAAAAAAGTTTCTCAAATTAAAAAACTTTTCTTCGGTCGTTCTTTTTACTTTGTTGTATTTATTTGGACAGCAAGCGACTAAAGTACTCGAGTGTATTAAATAACTACATAAAGCTAGAAGCATGGATCATATATGAAAAAATAATAATGAATATTGAGCTGCACTGTAAAAAAATAATATATAGTTACTGACTACCAAACTTTATTTCTTATATTTTTGTACATCATACATAATTATTGCATGAGTAAAACCCACGAAAAAAAAGCTGCCTCTTAAGAGGATTTCCTATGGGGCTCGTACAAATTGAAACCCTCAACTAAGAATACTGACAGTGAAATGAAAAGGTCCCGGATGTATTATTAAAAAGCAAAAAGCATGCACACTCTATTTAGTCGAGTAATCCGATATTATTATTACAAGATTTCTATTTTTATTTATTTTCTTAATACAAGTTTTTTTCAGAAATTCCCCTCCGAAAAGAGCACACTACATAACTTATTCTCTCGGATTATAATTAAATCGATTTGCCGGAGTTCTTAAACATCACAGTGCAGTGTTGGTACAGTTATCACAACTGAGGATTAATTGTCAATTGACCATTATACTTGGCGAAAAACGAGGGTGGTTTACATTACAAATGGCGCGTGTAGCTTAAACTCATAAAGGTCGTTGTCAAAGGTTGGTCTCGTTTAAACTTCTCTGACCGTTATAAACGATTTAAACATAAATAAGTCTATGGATATAGTCGTAGTTTTTGAAACTTACGTTCTTTTTCGAGTTGAGCAAAACTGTTAAACCTTGTTTAATAAATTCACTCTGTTATAGTTAATCTTTTTATCGACACATTTATTCACCGAATGTTATTTGTTAAACTAATAGAAATAATGATCATTAAAAAGTTTATTGAGACTTGGAGCGATTTGTTAAAAAAATTTACGAGCGATTTCCATAAAACATCGCGATAAAATAAAACAGTATGATAATATAATTTTTAATTTTCATACACATTATTTTTCTTGTCTCTTATGCAATATTAAATTTGATGAAAAAAATAATTTTCTTTTAAGAAGGATGACCTGCAGCGAATACGAAGGAAGCTAATTTCATTCTATTGTCGAGACAATAAAGAAATTACATTTCACATAATATAACTCACACGAGTTGAAAGTACAGATTGGCAAGAGCAGATTTAATATCAGACCTAACTGCCTGATGGCGAACTTTTTTCCTTTTATACATGTATTTATTTTATTATTACATCAGCAGCTGCCGGCATTTCATTTTCCGTTTTCGGTTTCAAGATTTCCGTTTTATATTAATATATATATATATATATTTTTTTTTTTTTTTTATTTTGAAATGTTTTTTGTCCTCTCGGAATTTTCCATCTCTTTTTGTCAGTGACATTTTCCTCCTGACATCTGCCTTATTATCTGAATGTAATTCAAACTCTTTCTTCTTTTCTGTCGCCACCGATGCCATTGAGATACATTTACGATATTTGCTGTCAAAATCGAACTCCGATGCTTAGCTTCTCTGAAATATATTTCCTTTTCCCTGTAATATTTTTCCATTATTCTTTCTATATAATAAAACTCACATATTTTCCATTTTTAATTGAAATGGTTTTTATTATGATTTCAAAGCATCAATAGTTTTTTCTTATAGAATATATAGTTTTAGATTTTTTTACGTCTTCATAATTTAATCGCATTAAAATAATCAATAAATATAAATAAACGCTGCCTAACTATTATAGCATTTTAGTATTTCGGTGACAATCCAATTAATTATAACAAGCAATTTACTAAAAATGTTTTTTCAATAAAACAACAGTAACGGGACTTTAAGCAAACACCGTTTATTAATGCGACTTGAGATTTGATAAATTTTATTTTGACCTGTGAGAAATGTATATTTTATGTGTAACGCCCTTCGTGGATTTGGAGATGTCTATATATTATTTTTTCTTGGCAATGACATTGTACTTGAGTGGCATTTTGCAGATGAAAGATAAGCTAATCAACAAGGGTCCGTAGCTCCCAAATGTTTACGAAATAGAGGAATAAAGGGAGGACGCTTGTATTTTCGATGAAAAACGAAAAAATATTTATTAAAAACGAGCAAAATAAATAGAGGGCATTTCTCATCGGGCTCTGAAAAGAGAAAAAAACCACGGATTAACAAGACACTTGGGAAAATCTTGAAAAAAAAAAATACTGGATAACGAAGCGTAAATATAACTATATATACATATATATGAATGAAAGCGAATGCAATTATTATAATTCCACGTTTATTTCGGCAAACATTTTTGTTAACATAGGACTTCGTAGCTCCGTTCAGTAGATTTTTATTTTTTTGGTAATATTTGTGTACGTGGGTTGCCAGGTAATTGAAGGAATACTATTTTTGAAATAATGCTTTAGAATATATAATATTGTACACAGAATTAAGAAAGTGTGTGGATTTTTCTCTTCGTTTTGTTCAACTTTATTACAGGTAGTTATAAATTAAAATTTTGGCGAAGAATTTAAAAAAACAGTTTCTGAGAAATAATACAACTTTTAACATATTTAAATATATTGCATTATAAGTCTTATTACAACATATTTCTCTATTTACGCCAGTATCAATAAATCGACATTAGTTATATTTGTTGTGTAAATTTATATAAAATCAACAAAGATTGTTTAATACAAAATACACCATCAAGTTTAATAAGAGCCGAGAAAGAGTTGATTGTTTTATATTATTAAGTTATTAGTTAAAATCATAACTTTTTTATAGGCATAACAATAATGATCGTTATACATTTTACATTAAAAGTTGTCAAATGATACTATCTCTCCCGTTATTCTTCCTTTAAAGCGCAAAAATTATTATTTATATAAATGTATTTAGTATTCAATATTTATTATGGTTATAATTTATAATATTTGTAAAATAAAATCTCAATAAATTTTAAAAAAATGTTATTTATAATCGAAAATTAAAAGTTGTTTATTTACCTAAAATGTTTGATCTTCTTTAGTTCCTTTCTGTATAAGTTTTTCTTAAAACTTTTATCTGCTACTGAGATCATTTTGTAATTCTTAATAACTAAGAAATATTAAACTAATTAAAATCCACTAAAAACTCTTGTAAAATTACTCATAAATATCGCGTTTCCTTTAACAAAGACGGATCATATCGAGAAACAACGAGACACTGCAGATACCATTTAAAGTACATCTGAATAATGTTCGAAGCGAATAACAAAATCCCTAATGTGAACGCAACCAGTTCTTGTGAATGAACTGACAACGCAAGAGAGGTAAAATTAAATCGACCGGTTATTGTTTTGGTACATGAAAACTAATCTGCATAATATTTGTGTTTGGTCTTCATCGTAGAAAGGACACACGCATCTTGTCAGAGGGATTCCGGTTGTGGTGGTCGGCAGGGGTCGTCTCCTTGCCATCGTAAAGGGTTAATTCATTGAAATAAACCGGTGCGAAGGGAAGTCGAAAAAAATACATCCTCCGACGAAGAGAAAAAAAACAACAAACACTCTGCTGGACCGGTGAGAACATTCATTAATCGTATGCGCGAAAAAAACGAATAATAAATAATTATTGTCCCCGGGCTAACCGGAATATTCAATGTAAATTTAAATTACAGGTACAAAAAATAATAACGAACATAGGGGATATTGTTTCTGCTATTCTATTATTTTTTTGAAACTAAGCATATATTTACATAAAATTATTTTGTACTGCGAGGGTAATGCCGAATATACTGGCAATGTAACGTTACATTGTTTTGTATGCATGTAATTTAAATGGTCTTATACATCTTGTTATAATCATCGTTATTCTTTTATTGCTTATTAGCACCTGGTGACAAAATCTTAATTCACAAGCAACTTCCCAAAGCGAGATGGAATTCATTTAGATATATTGCGAGTCTTACTCGCAGAGGTATTACTAAATTCATTGATTCTTAAGCTATTTTGGAAAAGGGAATTTTTAACGTTCATATTCCTTTAGTTAAACAAAATGTATTTATGTTCATTTTGAGACGAAAATTAGTTGATTTTTTTTAATCTTATAAGATAAATTTATGGTCTAATTTTCTTGGTCCAATGAAAAACCTCTTTTAACAAATAAATTCAATTTTTTTTTATATATTATAATTGAAGAGTGAATGTGTCAAACGTTCTATGTGCCAAAAAAATATTTGTTCAGAAAACACAAAAAACATCACAAATTAAAAATTTTCTTATAATTTTGTATAAAAATATATGTTATGCTATATTTACACTATATTAATAGCCTCGTAAATTTCTATTATTTTATTTTGTCATTTCATATTAGTATAAATTAAATATTTGCTAATGACAGTTCCAAGTGCCAAGTATTATAATATTAAAGTTCCAAGTTTCTAATAATGTGATAATATTATCGTTCCAAGTACCAATATTTTATTATAGATAACAGAAAATCATTCTTTATTTTATTAAGACTTCATATATATTTTTATAAAATATGTAAAAAAATCAACACTTTTTTTGAGTATCACAAATTGAAAAATAAATGTACAAACTTAAATAAAAAATACTCTTAATCTAACATGACATTGTCAGTAAATCTCAAAACGTAAAATAAAATTTTTTCTTCATATAAAAATGTAACAAGAAAAGAAAACAGTAGCTTTCTTGAGTATCACAAATTGAAAAATAAATTAACAAACCTAATAATAATTNTCGTTCCAAGTACCAATATTTTATTATAGATAACAGAAAATCATTCTTTATTTTATTAAGACTTCATATATATTTTTATAAAATATGTAAAAAAATCAACACTTTTTTTGAGTATCACAAATTGAAAAATAAATGTACAAACTTAAATAAAAAATACTCTTAATCTAACATGACATTGTCAGTAAATCTCAAAACGTAAAATAAAATTTTTTCTTCATATAAAAATGTAACAAGAAAAGAAAACAGTAGCTTTCTTGAGTATCATAAATTGAAAAATAAATTAACAAACCTAATAATAATTAAAAAAAAAATTTAGATTAAACATAATTAGAACATAGCAACATCATAATAAATAGCAAAAAAAATTAATTCATGACGTTATATTTTTATAGAAGTTTCTGTGCTTATCAGGTAAAAAAGGAATCATGGCCAACAAATCTTTTTTCTTCTCTGACGACAATGTGGGTTTCGGTATAGGTATAAATGTCTGATTTTTAAGTTGGTCTATAGTAGCATTTCTTTTAAAAACGTTAAAATCTTTCCAAAGTTCTTCATCTGAAAATGTTTTTTTATAATAGATTTTTTTGGGAGTTAAAAATGAAACTTTAATCATCGAACATTGGAAACTTGGTTGTGTTAAAAAAATTGTTAGCAATGTCTTTAAATGAAAAAAAGTTGTTTTCGTCCATCGGAATAACTCGAAATGGATTTATCAACTTCGCTGCTCTAACCATTTCTTGTAAATCAGAAGGAGTGAAATTTTGAAAAACTCTACGTCTCTTTTCGATAATAGCGAAATCACGAGCACAAGCCAAGAGAGAGTGGCCACTTATCAAAAATTTTTGTATAATCTCATCAAATATCCCCATATTTATTAAATATAACATCAAAACTACTAACGTTTTATTTTTATTTTGGCCAGCACAGTTGTCTGACCATATAATTAGTTTTTTGCGATTTATCGTATTTTCGTTTTTGTTAATAACTTTAAAAAGACAAGAAGCGATTTCTGAGCTTCCACGAGAAGCAATACTTTCATCCCACATATACATAAAGGCTGTATTGCTGTCACCGAGATGTATTCCAAAGTTATAACAACTAAGTTGACGCTTTCCTGAATTGTATTATTGCTTTTCCTGGTCGCATACGATTTTCCACTAATTCTTTTTTTAGTCTGATCATTTATTCTTTTTTTACCACTTCGTAAAATATGTATACTTTCAGTATCCATAATAACACAATTAAACAAATGAAAAAGAAAACTTAACGAATACAACAACACCAGTATTAGTTATTTTGAAATATAACGAACTATATTATAATATTGTAATCGTCAAACTATTATATTCGCCCAAGGCACTTAGAACGTACAGGTAACAAAGGGCATGTCTCACAGAACAAATACAATCTATGAACGCAATTTTGTACAAGTAAAAAATTTAATTGACACTTGAAACACATACAAGATTGTGACCTTTGGCTCATAGAACATAAATCAGAAATAAAACAATTTTTCAATTTTTTGGCACATAGAACGTTTGACACATTCACTCTTCAATTAAACTCTATCATACGGAATCTCCTCATTAAGGGAAAAAGTTTGATTTTTATAGTTTCTGTTGAAGAGAAGTCATATTCATAAGTGAGTTATATTTTCATAATTTATCATTTACTTACACTCACGAAGAAATTTTGAAATCGTTAAGGTATTAAAGATGGAAGAATATGACAGTAGTTTTCATTTCAATAACAATTGATAATTTTATCAACAATAAATTTTGCATCAAGGATAATTGATAAGGAATAAATGCTTTAATTTTTAATTTCTTTTAAGGCTCTAAATAAAATTTAATTTTACCTAATAATGTTTATATTATAGTTGAAAATGTTATTTATAATAAAATTAATTTATTGAATAAATATTTTTTTTGACCAATTTTTGTATACAATTGATATGTTTGTCTAAAGATGTGTTTATACACTTTTAGTACCATAAAATTTTGTTATATTTTTGTGAATTATGAAAATATAAAGTTTTGTTAAAAGTATTTTTTCGATGCGAAGTTCAAATTAACATATATGATTTGAGTTAACAACCGAAAATTGTATGGTATGTAATTAAATTATTTTTAAATGCCAGTAACAGCCAACCGAGTAGTTTTTAAAAGAGCGCCCGAGTACACTTTTTTGTCAAACAAAGGCTATTCCTTTGATATGTATAAGGGAAAAATGCTGAATATTAGTTTGAGCTTTGCCTTTATGTTTATTAAAAACGGAAACTGTCTCACATTCTTTTCCAACTCGGTTTGTTTTTATATTAAATTGCATAACAATAACTAATAATGTGTAACTATTTTTCGTTTGGTATTTTTTAATTTTCCAAGAAACTTTATTGCTTTTTATGTCACAATCGACGACGAAAATACGAATAAAATACAAATTTTCGTCGTGTGTAATTCCAACAGTGTGCGGTGAAAAGGGCGATATAGCCTATAGAGGTGTACTTGCGTCTCGGAGGGTGTCGATTTAGCTACGTGAAATGCACAAGATGTGACAAGGGTAGGCCGAGAGGGAAATCGTGGCGGCCATGTTTTTTTTTATTTTTTGAGCTCAGAAAAATGTGTGTGCCACTAGCTGCAGCCATGCATGATATCGCTACAGCCGCCGCCATTTCCCAGGGATCTTTTCCGTCGCAACTTTTCCCCTACTCATACATTACGAATTTTATATTCCATTAGTATATTATACATATACATGTATATATATACACGGGAATTATATTTCTTTTTCTTATTCTCCCTACTTCAAAGAAGTCGAATAACAGAAAAAGTCCACTCGAATATGTCAAATAGTTTTCAGAGATCATGAATTGCATTACATTTAATAAAAAAAAAACTATATTGCTACAATTTATTGATTTCCAATTAAAAATATACTGCAATGAACACCTGTACAACATTTTATTGAAGTAATGATTCGGATGTTTCTATAATGAAATAATCAAGTATGACTATTAAAAGTCAAAATGAAAAAATTATTTTAGAAATAAAACATCAAATTACTATTTGTTTTTATCAGATTTCATTATCTGTAAAATATTATGGAATAGAAATTTATATAGCTATTTTATACAAAGTGATGTCTTAAATACGTCTCGCGAATATCTTTGAAAATATTAGAGAAAATCATTATTTAAAAAATAATGGATGTTCGTTGAGCTATTTTAAACGAAAAATTAATTTTCTGCCATCATCCCTTATACTCTTAACTGATATAAACTTTTGCTTTTTAAATGGCAACACCAATATTCTTATTACATTAAATTTATTCAATTAAAAAAATATATATTATTTAAAAAAAGGTTTTTATAGCACTCAATTTTCAACAAGTTGAAAATTGTAAGTACTTTAAATAGCTGTTTAAAAAATACGGTCGATAAAAAAAAATGCTTAACTATTTTAGAAGACAGCACCTTTGATGGGTCGTACATTGATAAGTGCTATGGGTGTTTGTTAGGCGTAGTTAAGATATCACTNATAAGTGCTATGGGTGTTTGTTAGGCGTAGTTAAGATATCACTCTTTACGATTTAGCTATTTAAGAATAGGTTCTCATTTAAGAATATTAAAGTTAAGGCCTTTTATCCCAGAAAGGAATGAATAAAAAAATGTTTTAATTGCATATTATTATTGAATTTATTTAAATTCTCAATGGTTTCTAAGAAAATAAGTATCTTGCTAGATTTGAATCACTTGTCTAATATAGTTTCCCTGGTGATCTTTTTATTTTTTTTTTATCATAATTTGAAGTTATATTCATAAGTGGGTATTGATATCGGTAGAATCGCTGCTCGTCATGCTCTGGTAAAAAATCACAATATAACGATTAAATGACGCAGTTGAGAAAGATCTATTGATTTTAATTGAATTATCCGTTTTTAAATTTCAACTGGCTGTTGAATCCCACATTCTTTTTTGCCCGTGAGATAAAACCAATACTCATTTCGTATTGATATGCATAATTATATACAATACAGACATCGCTCACTAATAATGAGAATAGTAATTATTACGATGAAGAATAAAATAAAACCGCGGAACTCATCTCTTAAAACAGATTAGCATATTAGGGGATGAACGGGGAGTAAAGAAAAAACAGTAAAAGCAAAGACTTAACAGCTATAGGGACCGGAAAACAACTGCAGGAGCGGATGAAACCGAGACATTTATTATCATTAACATAATTATTCGAATATTCGTTATGTGCGGTCGTTAATGGGAGTCTTAGCCGAGTAGTATTTTATAATTTGCATATGTATCTTTGTAGCGACCAACTGTTGATATACGTGACGACCCCAGGACGCCTAAACAATGAGCTGTGGACGACTACAAGAAGATTGTACAACAATACAAAATTACTGAGATACTCCTTATGCAAATACCAACACGGTTTTTTGTCTTCTCATTTCACCCTACATACATTCATAAAGAAAGTACAATTACAGTTTTTTTATTTTGTTTAATATGAGGCCAATAGACAGCGTTAATTCCCTGTCGAGTTTCACACGTCCTAGAACGAAACAGTCATGTATTTGTAATTGCACCTGGATAAAAAGTAGTAGTATGAGTGCCGAGAATTAAAAAAGTCCCGTAGTGCCATTTAAAAAAATTAAGTTGATATTCTTATAAGGTATAAGGAGTGGACTAAAAACGTACTTATATTTGATGATTTATTAAATATAGATTGTTCGATTATCGGTAAGATATTAATTTGCTCAGAAACTATTAAAAATTTTAAATGTTTGTAAAAATAAAAATTATTTAATTCAAAAAACTCTTAAATATTATGTTGTCAAACAATATTTTTCAAAAAAGAAACTCAACTTTTTATTAAGTCAAAAATGAAGTTCCTTTTAAAAAAAATTGTAAGAACAAAATTATTTTTTCTATCATATTTATAAACTAAAATTAACGAAAATTTACGAAAACTGAATAAGAAATTAATTAGGTAAAACAAATTGTTTTTTAATTTTTAATTATTAATATTCATTTAAATTCAGACATATATTAAATATATTAGTGTAATTATAATCTTATTAAAATGACTAAAATTAAAATATTTAATAGTTTTATTTTAAATATAAAACACAAGTATAGTAGCGCAGTCTAACGGCCGTACAATGATATTGTACTATGCAAACCAATCGACTATGTTCAGGTAGACAAGAACTTTAAAATGGTAGTGGAAGAAATTATTCTATTTTTCTTATACAGAGGATTTTGTAACACTCAATTAAAATTTTTTTTAATGAAAAAAACTAAAATAAAATTTTAAATGTGTACTAAAATAACACCTTTAATTCATATATAATTTATATTTTCAAAGTCAATTTGTGAGGTATAGCTAATCAATCACCTTGTATATACTTGAAGTAAAAATTTAGTCTCTATTTACATTGGAGTAAAATGAAACAATAAATAGGTTTAATATGTAAGCATAATTTAGATAAAATTGAAAACAACTAGTAAAGTTGTTTAGAGCTATAGTTTCTTGGAAAAAATATGTAGTAGAATTTAACTTTTAAACTAATAAAAATTCATTTATTTTTACTCGTTAAATGTCATAAAAATTATAATTACAATATATTTAATTACTTATCATAATAATTTTTATGATAAATGTTTAACTTTACATGTATAAAATATTTTAAAAGTGTTTTGTTATTTCAAATCAAGCGAGTTCACTAGTGAAAGTGAGCAATTACTTATCAATTTAAAAATGCGGTAACAATTTGGCTACCAGGTGTATACTACTAACCGTTGCCACTAGAGGCCGCTATAAAATCCCACAAATACAATAAAACAATTTGTTGTTCAATATAAGCTGTTGCAAAATTCAAATATGTAAATATAAATAAATAATTTATTCCCCCCAAACAAATTAACTAGAATTTATTTCCTTTGTATCCAAAAAGGAAACGAGCATAATAATTGAATTTTGTTATTTTCCAAGTAGTGCCCGGGCACTACAGGCACGCTTACAATAATAATTATTAGATTGATTGTAAACAAAAAATATTAATTTTTTATACAAAATTCTATATAAATAATTCAGTAAAGCAACAATAATTACAATTTAGTAACGCTCCTATTAACAAGTACTTTACTGCTTAAAATATTTAATATTTTCCCAAAATAAAAAGTTAATTTATAAATTTTACTTCTTAATATAAGCTTACTGATTAAATTGTGTGTGACTACAAAGTTTTCACACATATATTAATATATTAAAATATTTAGATAAACTGCTTTCAATTTAGGGCAGAGATTTTCAAAAATTTGCAATCCTATTTTATGTATATGTTACAATAAAATATGTTAAATTTATATTGACGTTATTAACTAGCAATTAACGTTAATAGATAATAATGAATACTTTACAAGCTTTATAACGTTAATTACTAAGGATTTACGATAATTCCAAACAATATTAGTTAATCATGTTATTTATATTTAAATTTTTATATTATTATTTATTTTCACATGATAATGAACTGTTACATTTCGAATTGCATAATTTCCCAACTACTCGACAGGTACATTTATTTGTTTTACTCTTCATCTTATAGTGACATCTTTGATAGTCTTGTGTACCCATAAGACTACTACATCCTGCTGCTTCTCGAAATGTAATCTCTTTTTCTTTAGATGATTCAAGCAGGGTTTTGAGATCAAGTAAAATTTCTTTGCATGGCATAAATTGAGATCTCGTATACTTGTGTTTAAGAAAACCATTTTCGGTACCTAATTCAAATATAAATACATTAATACCTATACATTTCAATTTTATATCTTATTTTACATACATAATTTATAAAAGCCGTTATCAACATTAGCAATAACTGCTAATAAATTTCGTGAGGATCCACGGGCTCTGTCAACGTCGCGGTTAGCTCTCTTTACAGACCCTTGGCTTTGACTGTGTCTAGGTTTGCCATGTACTATTTTTACATCTGGCCACATGGAATGGAGCTCAATAATTATTGAATTAACAAATTCTCGGCCATTGTCAGAATGTAGAATGACTGGCGCCCCGAAAGTTGTATAAATATCCAACAAATTGTTTGCGATCTCTTCCGCACGCTTACTCGATAAAGCTCTAAGTAACACGAATTTCGTAAGATGGTCTTGATAATTTAAAATGAAGCGAAATCCATTAATATTTTGTGATTGCATATCAATTAAATCGATTTGAGCTCTTGAATTGAAAGTGGAATGTAAAATAGGTTTTGAAACTAAGCCTCTTTTAGGATTTGACGACTTTTTTTGACAATGTGTGCATAGATTTAAATATGCCATAATAGTTTCATTCGTGATATTGCAATATTTTGATTTTAATTCAGAATCCATACTACATCTTCCGCCATGGCCAATAGTAGAATGAGTCGAATGCAAAATATTTACAATAAAGCCCTACACTAGTAAGCCCCACTAAGTTTATACTATCTAGTATTTAATACCATTAAGATAACATTATATAACAACACTTTCCATCGTGTGTAGAAATTATCGATAATCAAACCAAAAATTAATAAACCACGATAATCACTAGTTTATTTGGTAATTATTGTTATTTACTAGTTAATAACGTCAATATAAATTTAACATCTTTTACTGTAACATATATATAAAAATAGTCATCGTATACGCAAATTGTTTCATACTACAACAAATTTAAATTTAAAATTTAGTATTGAATATTTTTGTTTGTTTCAGTTCTTTTTACTTTTAAATGAATATTTAATAAATTTTAGAAGTTTTTAAATGACTTTTACAAATTTCTTTCCCATTTTTCAAAATAACATTTTATTAAGACATATACTAATCATGACTACGTTTTTAAATGTTATTAAAGATATAATATAAAATTATATTTAAGATATTTTTATCAAAACAAATAGATATTAAAAATCTGAGGATAATTAACATTATTCTCAATTAATAATGTTTTACGGAAGTACTAAAAAATAGTAATACTAAAAATAGTCTCTATTTTACAACAAAAAATATAAATAATAAAAATGCTTTTAAAACATGATATTTACTTTATATAAATAACTATTACATTGAACTCTAGTTTACTCTGTATAATTAATCTAAATTAAATATATAACACGAACAGCTATTCAGTAAAAAATATATATTTAACTTGAAAGTATGGTAATAGGTATCAAAATGAATACATTAAGACTTTTCATAGTTTTTTTAAAGTATACTAATTTTATAGTAGCAATTGATTTAATAGGTTTGCATTGTAACTTTTCGAAATATATGTTTAATTATTTCAAGTACGGTGAGCACTATTTGTTCAACTTCCAAAATACAATTTCTGAATTTGAAATAAAAAATTATGGATTAGCAATCAAATCTCACGATGAAATTATAATGATCATGTTAGATGCGTTACGAGATATGGACGAGAAGCATATAGCAGAAGATTTAATGACCATAAATTTATACTTAAATAATGTTTCGGGGTCATTAAACATGATCGCTAAAAATGAAAACGGCGTATTCAGTAGAACTGAAAGCTCTCAGAATTTACTTGAAGGCTATAAAATAATTCATCGATCAATTGTTGAACGATTGGAATACTTTATCAATAGCCAATGTTCACTTGTATCGTTTGAAAATGATTTCATATCATACACCTATTTTAAGGTACCGGATAGTTACAATCCAAATAACTTACTTAAAGAATTGGAACACCTAAAAAATTACATATTTATTATTATTAGAGAATATTTAATGTGGTATGATGTGAAATATGATAAAATATTAAGTAGTTACACTGACATTGTAAAACATTTAGCATTGTCTTTTCGTAGGCAATCGTATAGTGTTTTTAATCCTAAAAATGTCTTCTTTTATGATTTAATGGAAACTCGATCTAATTTATGTGAGCTAAAATTATCGTCAGGTTCTCAAGCAAAACAATATGCTATATATAATAGTGAGCAACAACTAGATGATATTTTAGATATGATTCGATATGCTCCGTTGGCAATAAAAAGTACAAACAATTATCAAATAAAGTTATTTGATGTGTTTCGTTTCATAAAGTTTGATTTTGACTGGCAAAATATACAAGCATTTACAAAATTAGTAAATACATCAACATTTCGTCCAATTATGATGATTATCAACTTTTATTTTTCATTAGTTAGAAAATTCGTTTTGCTTCCTAAATTTAAAAATAAAAAAGTAAAATTAGCAATGAAAAATAAAATCATTGATATGGGTCAACATATTGTTGAAAATATGAAATCATTTATGGATTTGAATTTATTTGGAGAAAATTTTACAATTTTTATTGAGTATAATTTAAATAAGATATACGAAATTATTTCATCCTTCTCAAATCAAAATAATTTGTTTATAAGTAAAGAAATGAATTCGTTTTCAAAATGGCACTATAATTATCTGAAAAAATTTAATTTAGTTTGGAGTAAAATTCAATTACAGAAAAAAATTGTCACAGAAAACAATATTAATGACATTTGTCATTTAGCTGCTGAGGAAGTAAAAAAAATTGCTTCATTCGTTTCAGAATTGAAAAAATATAAATATTCTTTTAAGGTTGCGAATAAATATATTCCTACAGAATTTATGGATAAGCGTACATTTAATATTATTTTCAAGCATAATATACCATTCGGTTAGTTCACAAATACATAACCAAGATTTCATTCTTTCTGTTAAACGAAATACTAAAAAAATTTTTGTCAATGGGTTTATAAATTAATACTGTTTAAAGCTTTTATCAAAATACTATAGGGAAACTTATAATTTTTGTTAGCAAATGGGCTGTATTTATGTAAAGATTGAAATGATTTATTTTTATGAACCACAGTAAATGTCAAGTTTAATGTAAGAAAAAATTTTTTCTAATGATAGATTTAGGGTATCTTTTAGAAATTAAAAGGGAATCTATTAAATGGTTAAATAGAAACCTATTATTGTTATTTTTTTACTGTTACATTGGGAATTGACTAAATAAAATTTTTAAAGCTTGATTTTCAGTATTGTATCATTCATTACTAGGTTAATATAAATTGAAGTTATACGAGAGAGGTGTTGAACGTATAAGGATTCTGTAAATGAGTTACTCATATCTATGCCAAAGATATATTACATTAATAGTAATAGTTAAGGGGGGGCTATAGCCCATCAGCCCTCCTAAGTAACGCTACTGTAATTTATCAATATTTACGATAAAAATATATGTAATTTTTCATATTATTATTATAACTAAAAATTTTGTTTTTAGAACAATTAGGAAATTACGAAGACATATATCGACCACTTTATTTTCCTGAAGTTAATATAAGTGACATAAAACAACATTACAGTCATTGCTCAAATAATGAAATAAATGAGATGAGTAATGATGACAATAAAGATTTGGTTGTGGGAACTCAGACATTTAACACTCCTGTATATCTAGTTGATTATTTGCTTTATGAGTAAATTGATAATGAATTTAAAAATAATTTTATCAATAAAACTATAATAATTGATTAAAAAAAAAAGTTTATTAAATTTTTTCGCTTATTTTAATCTTATTGAATTATATTAAATCCAATAGTTGAGACTAAAGGTAAATCATGTCTTGAGCTTAATATTTTCTGAATTTTGAACTTTGATCCATGACTTGAGTTGAATTCATTTTTATTATAAGTTGATATTCTCATAAGGTATAATGAGTGGACTAATAACGTACTTATATTAGATGATTTATTAGATATGGATTGTTCGATTATCAGTAAGATATTAATTTGCTCAGAAACTATTAAAAATTTTAAATGTTTGTAAAAATAAAAATAATTTAATTAAAAAAACTTTTAAATATTATGCTGTCAAACAATATTTTTCAAAAAAGAAACTTAACTTTTTATTAAGTCAAAAATGAAGTTCCCTTTAAAAAATATATTAGTGTAATTATAATCTTATTAAAATGACTAAAATTAAAATATTTAATAGTTTTATTTTATATATAAAACACAAGTATAGTAGCGCAGTCTAACGGCCGTACAATGATATTGTACTGTGCAAACCAATCGACTATGTTCAGGTAGACAAGAACTTTAAAATGGTAGTGGAAGAAATTATTCTATTTTTCTTATACAGAGGATTTTGTAACACACTCAATTAAAATTTTTTTGAATGAAAAAAACTAAAAAAAATTTTAAATATGTACTAAAAAGACACCGTTAATTCGTTAAAATATTCATTTAGAGGGTGAATGACTAAATATGCCTCACAAATTTTCTTTAAAAATATTAGTGTTATCATATATGTAATTTTTTTTTTTCTTATAAATCAATGTTGAGCTACTTGACAAGAATAATAAAGATTCCCCATCTTCTTCATCCCTTAATCTTTAAATGAATATCAACTATATTTTTTCAAACAGCAACTCAGTTTTTTTTTATAAACCTTGTTTAGCATAAAAAAAAAATTCTCAAAAAAAAGCAATTTTAGTAAATTCCAAAGAAGATAACACTATTTACAGTAAAGGCAATCTAACAAATAAAACAGTAGTCGGGTTAATATAGTAACACTAATGTTTAGTGTACCGATAAGAACTATCGGTGTATTGTAACACAACAGATCACTGTATAACTATGAACCGGAAGCAATAATCGGTGAATGACAAACTATGCCTCATGAATTTTCTTTAAAAATATTGATGTTATCATATATGTAATTATTTTATTTGTTAAAATATTCATTTATATATTTTAAGTAAAACTTTAGTCTCTTTACTGCATATATTAATGCAGTAAAATAAATTTGATACACTGCTTTTATTTATAGGGCAGAGATTCTCAAAAATTTGCAATCCTATTTTGTGTATACATAATATTATTATGGGTTTGATGGATAATGGGGGAAAATTAATTTTTCGTGTAAAGCAACTCAACAAAATCCGTTATTTTAAAATAATAATTTGCTCTTATATTTTCGAAGATATTTCTTGAGGCGTAGATCATGAGGAATCACGCTGTACATAAAATTTATCTAAAAACAAAAAAAGTTTACATTGAATTAATTCTACGTATTAAAATATTAATTATGTATAATTTCATGGAACGTACTTAAAAAATATATATAAATTCATAAAAACTTAAACCTCAGGAAAAAATGCTGAGATCACGGGATTAGGATTTCACAAAATTGTGAAAAATGTGTATATAAAAATAACAGAAAAGAAATTCCTATAACAGTCGTTAGGTATGATAAGTAATATTGAATATGCAAATAAATTGTTAGTTTTATTTTAAGTCAAAAGTCGCCTTATTGTTATCAATCTTTACACCGTTCCTGGAAATTCGTCATAACGTCTTATTTACGTTCTACAAACAAATTATTTGTACGGGGTATTAGATTACCCTGGTCTCGAGGAACACAGGTATGATTTCACGGGGTTGAGTTCACGGGAAACTTTAATTATCTTAAATTGATATCATAGCATAATCACTAATGTAATTAATACAATGTTTGTACTTGTTCAGTTTAAAATTAATATCTGTATCATAAATGTAAACACTGTAAATTAATCTACAAAGACAATGTATTAAGTAACAGTATCCCTAACAAAAATCAAATGTACCACAACCAATGCAATATATTATCCCTGCTTATAATTTTCGTTTCAATAAAGATGAGAGCTCTGGTGGTTAATTCCTACATTTTAGTGACATATATAGATCATAGATTTCATATAAAAAGCCGTAAAAAGCTATAAAATAGGAACATTCCACTTCTCAAGCCTAGAGTCAAATGAAGCAATAGACCACCAGTCTCTCAAATATTCAGAAAGAAAAACTTGTCAGTGTTATTCATTTCAATTCCGCACAAACATTATAAAGTAGGTGATACATTTTAATTCCAATAATTTGGAATTATTTAATCCGAGAAGAAAATGACAAAACAATAGTAATTAATTTATCTTTACACATACTAAATTTATTAACTGGTTTTTCATGAGAATTATTAAATGCGTTCGAAGTGCTTGACCAAAGATCGTACCTACACATTTTCTTATTACGTTTCATAGTTGCCGACCTAAGCTCGTGCCTTTGAAACGTGAGACTATTCAAATGATCCACCAATGTTAATAAATTTGATATACACATTAAATCTCAATATTTATCATAACCCTTTCATCAAATTGTATTGTCATTCTCTAAAACCCTCGGACTCCACAACCCCAATAATATTAAGTAAACTGAATTATAGTAACCAAAAGTAAGATGAGTGATTTTATTCAAGTGCTCAAAAATTCAAATTAATTAATCAACATACCCAATTTTATTTATTATATATTCACAACTAAAACCTTACTTTTGGCTCACTATAGTATGGTACAGTACAATAGTTGTGAATATGTACGTGTAAGTATGCCATAGTATTTAAGCTATAGTTACGTAATGAGATGACACATTTTGTAGGTAAGGTATGAATTATTATCCTCTAAAGCTCTAAGAATATCCTACGGTATTTTAAATGCATAAAATATCAATTAACATACGGCTTATGACCGTGTTTTAACCTTTCTGAAGAATTAAGAAGAAAAAAAATTATTTGAGTTTTATAGAAACATAGTTTTATTCTATGATTTTATTAGAGAAATAAAATCCTAGATAATAATCATTATTTTAGACATTATTCTTTAAACGTATTTATAGTTTTTGTATCCACTAATATTTTAATTACAAATTCCGTTAAAAATGAGATTTTCAGTATAAATATGTATTAATAATAACAACACTATTTTGTCAACACAACATACGTTTATATTAAACAATTTTTTTATATATTATATACAAGTTGTAGATACTAGTCATTTTACGACGGATAGCTATTACTAACAATTACTGTTGGTTTTTCTTGGTTGATTGTACTGGATGGTATGATTGTTATCAACTGTATATTTGCATATGTTGTATCATCGGCTAGCGGCAGAAAAAATGTTCAGCATACGTTTTCTCCATTAGAAGACTAAAAAATTTATATATATTTATTAAATACGTTCTACTGAATTAAAAAAAAAAAAAAAAAATGTAACTCACCCTTTGTTTAGTATATGCTTCCAGCATCGTCCACCGTTGTGCCAACTATTGGCTCACAAATTGTTTTATTTGGCTTATGTAGCTCAGATTGCTATTGGGTAAACTGTTTCTAATCGTATAATCCGAAACCGCTTTGATCAACAAACATTTGTTTTCCACATTTACTTTATACTGTGATTTCATATATTGAGCCATCTCTTCCAACCATTGTAGAATTACAGTCATCTTTTGATTGATAGCCTCGAAGATACAACATTCCAAAGGGCTGAGTTTTTAAATGTCTGATCGGGTGAATAACACTCGGCATTCATATTGTGCTTGCGATTCAAAGACTAGCGAAGACTCTCCTTGAAACGTAGTCTTTGAGAGTGTGATGTACTCATCCTTGAGTAAAATAATCCTTTGTCTTGATTCCGGGTCGAGAATTAGGGTCAGAATATTACCCATAAACGTATAAATCCGTTGTAGGAAATCTATCGTTATAAGTATGTAATGGGTTGACGATAGTAAACGAATATTTACGTCAAATCAATCTTTTGGATCCAATCCTATCTGAACGGATTTACGAGGATTGAAATTCAAAACGTAATCAGTGAAATCGATTAATTCACTATGAGGTTTGGGTTTAACAAATGTTTGTTTGTTATAGAATTTAACAATTGTAGCGAGAGAACCAGCCATTCTTAAAGCATAAAAGTATTGACTAAGGCTAAGTTCACATGGTTTGCGTATATGCGATAACGACGCAATTTAATTACTTCTGTTATTATAACTATTATAGTTATTATTGTTATAATGATAGGGTTGGGTTTGTCAGTAGATATATTTACAAACTCCTTCAGTTATTGATATTCACTAATATTTCCATGTAGATTAATGATTTTCGTTTATTAGTTCATAAATGTAATATAAGTGAAATTATTTTATCATTCTATTGATTGCCGCATTATAAAAACATAATTATTTAAAAATATGTAACAACTTTTTCAGATACAAATGATTTCGCTAATCGGAGAGTCTGATTATAAAGAATCATTCTGTAGAATTTTAAGAAAACTACTGACACATGATAAGGCTATCAATTACAATTTAACTGGCCATAAAGGTCAAGGAATAAAAGTAGTATTAAACAAAACTATTTTGTTTAAATTATTAATTGGTGAGAAAATTTAAAATGGTTTATAATTTTTCAGTCTTCTTATTAGAATATTTTTGATATTTGTTACAAGGGTTGTTCAGAAACCATTCAATGTGTCTAATAAAAGTATAGAAAGATTGATGCTATAAGTATTTGACTTTCAAAGGCCAATGAATGAAGTGAAAAAAAAAATGTTCAGATGATAACATTTAATTTTAATTTTTACATGTATACTTTATTTGAGTCTTTTATAAGACTTGGAACAAGTTTATGTAAAATAAAAATGTTTGTTTTTAAGAACTAGTTTTATTAAAAAAAATTATATTCCCCCTTTCTCAGTTTTGACATTAATACTTACATACTCTTGAAATATTAATATAAAACATTAAGGATATCATAGGATAGATACATTAAGTATTTTACAACACTTTGCTACCGAATTTTGAGATACATAAAACTTATGATGTCTATAGCTTTATCAACATTGTAGGAATCAGTTATCGATGTAAAATTTTACTTAATATCCTATAAATTATAACTTTATTGTTAATATAAATTATAAAGTATCGAGATTTTAAGTTTTAGATTCACAAAAAATGCATAATTTTTATAATAAAGCTACTAGTATCAATGTATTATTCAGCTTAAGTGGGAGGATATACTATACTCCTAGTGGTGTTTTGGGTGATATACAACAATAAAACTACTGTATACTCACTTCGTACATGTGAATTGTCTAGCTTGTATTCCCTTTTTATCAATCATTGTTAACTTTAGTATAAACTTTAGTTGTATGTTTCGTAGAATATAATAAAAAAACTTACAAAGCCGAACTAAAAAAAATCCTTGTATATTCAACAAATTTAATGTAATATACATCGTGCAATTTTGTTTTTTTGTTAATCAAATAAAAATGTTGTTAGGAAAATAATTTATTTTTCAAACAAACAAATATTTTGCACGTAACGAAAATATTAACCTTGAGAAGCACTTAAAATAATATTAAACATAATACAAACGATTATAAAATATGATACGAAAAAATGTAAATAATGTATATGAGTTTTCGATATATTATATTCAAAAGTATAAATATTGTACCTTATTTTAATTAATTAATCTGTATTGATGATGATGTATTTACTTTACTTTTCAGGACCTCTTTGTTTTTGTTTTCTATATATAAAAAAATGTTTATTTAAATTATCATTCATGAAAAATAATTATCATTAAAGTTTATTATAGTTTGTATAATTTAAAAATTACCATTATAACGGTGGCATATTTTACAAAAAAATTCGGGAGGGGGTCTTAAAAATTTTACTGAAAATGATAATAAAAATGTTTCTTATTATATTTCTATCTCTTAAATGAATTTTCCTAATTTTTAGAAGTTTTAAAGAAAAAAAAAATGATCAACAAAATTATTTTAAATTATAGTTATAAAATGTAAATTTATCTTCTATAGTAAAAAAATAATTTATTGACGATAATGTTTAAATTTTTCCATAATTTTCTTCAGCTTCAATATGTCGAAATATTTATTGTTGAAATTTATAAAAATAAAACTACAGTCTCACGATAATTAAAAATATTTTATAATAAATATATTATATAATACATTTTTTCTTATAATTAAATAAAATTAAAACTATTTAAAAATATTATTAATTTAAACACTAAATAATATTAAAATAAAAAAATTACTGAAAAGCAGCGGATACGTATTTTGGAAATATTGTTACCAATGATTATATGTTTTTAGCGTTGATTAAGGTAACATTGTTTTCAAAATATGTATTTTTTGTGACATTTGAGTTCAATATTTTTTAGTTTTTTAATTTATAATAAATTTATATAGTTTTAATTTTATTTAATTAATTAGCCATACGCGATCAATTTTTATTATATTTCTTATAATGTTTAAGTCCAAAAACATTTTTAGTTTATAAAATATTATACATAAAAATTAATAATAATTAAAAACCATTCACAATCAATTATCGCCTCCAACTTTCTATATAATATATTTCTAAATGTACATTTTTATTGAATAATTATTATTCATGAAATTTAAAATCACGTTATCATCATGATATTTAAAACTATTGTAAGTATTAAACTATTTTTAAAACATTTGGCTAACTTTTTTTATTGTTCAAAAATATAAATTATGTTATATAATTAAAATAAAATTACCGTTTTTAATATCTTCGGATGATGTCGTTATGTAAACCGGCGAAGTTTACATAACGACATTTTTTTTTTTTAATAAGATTTACACTTTTAGTTTTTATAATACATAATTGTATTAGTATGATATTAAATATCCTATCGAAAATTGTCTATTTTTCTCATTCTTTTTAAACTATTATTAAAATCAGCAAAGCATAATTGTAAATGGGAGATTTTTGGTTACTTCGCACCCGCAAAAATAAAATAATTTATATTTATGGTTGTGTAAAAATATTATAATGAAATTACATTTTTTTTTTTTACACGATCGGCATTATTATGGGTCGCCCTGGAACTGCCATGTGGCATTACTTCAGGTTGCGAATTAGCCCGAAATTAATCAAGAGCTAATTCGCAACTTGTTGTGGCCCCCTCCCGTTAACCGAAACCCACAGTGGGAACCGTTAGGGAGGGTTGGCAAAATAACTTACAAACAAAAACACAAAAGCAAGAACAAGAACCTAAGGCACCGGCCTAAACCAGCGCCTCAGGTTTTCCTGTGCCGGGCGGCGTGGATATCTCTGTCTCAGGCGTTCCGCTTCCTCCTTCTTTAATAAGACGGATTCGGCGAACGTCTAGACGAGCTTCCACGCCACCCAACTCCTCAACATTAGGTCCACCATGGCCCGACTCTATTTATAAAACATTTGCCTAACTTTTTTTTTTGTTCAAAAATATAATATATGTTATGTAATTAAAATAAAATTACCGTTTTTAATATCTTCGCATGATGTCGTTATGTAAACTTCGCCGGTTATTACATTATACTTAAAACCTAGCTCAAAAATCTTTTTTTGAACTGTATCTTCAATAATTTCATTTATTTTTGTAATAAGATGATTAATTAATTTATGTCCACCAGTATCTTCCAATGGATTCTCCTTGTATTCTTTCATTATTCTGTCTATGAATAATTCTCGATCTTCAAATATCAACTTAGCATGCTGGCGTAAACTATGTATTATATCTCTAATTCTCCCAGAAAAAAAATTTTTTATAATGAATAAAATAGTTTTGGCTAGCAGCTCCTTTGATTGTAATTTATCTTCAAAATTTCGCAATTCATAGAACATTTTTTTTAAAATGTAATTTTCTTTAAATCTTTTTGACGACTTCAATGAATTACTATGCATAACATCTATAACATCAATTGCTCCTTCCATTTTCTTTGCCAATGATAATATATTTTGTATTGTGTTTAATAATTTATTTATACAATTGATTTTATCATGTTCATCAATTTTATTATTGTCTATTAAGCTATCACAATATTCTCGAAATTTATCAACAATGTAGAACAGTTTTTTTAAAACAATGCCATGTGAAACCGCAAGGAATATTGTAGCAGTTCGTATTTGACCGTCAGCATTTAAAAAATTAGTGTCCTTCTCAAATAAATCATTTAAATAATAAGTAAAACCTAAAAATTTTACTTCACTTACGTCATTTAAATTTTTCCATCCATCATTTTTAAAAAGATGTCTGAGGATAGCTGGTTTTGATGCTTTTTTAGCCTCCGTAAAATACTTGACATAAATTGGCATTAAGAAAATTAAAACATAGATAAATTTTAAACATATCATTTCTATGATATTTAATTTTATTGAAAAACGTTTTTTAGATATTTTAATTCTACAGACAATTTTTGTATTTTTAAAATCTGTATGAATGTATTTATTATATCACGTATGTATGTTCATTTCTACATTTAGTTATGGAACCAAGTCAACAAATATTTAAACAATTATTTTCTGGTGTATTATTAAATTTACCATAAAAATTTTAAATCATAAATTAAAATGTTTGATATAAAAAACGCAGTAAGGTTGAATTTGACGCATGGGTATAAACGCAAAGGTTTTAAGGCCTTGCTGGAGCAAACAGACGATTGTATGGGGCCTACACTAGGACTGTGCACACACACCATCACATGAGCTACGGATTTATGGCGAAAACATCGAATGATGTGCTTTCCGAGCTCTTCGAACGATATACCGCAATCACCGGTGATATACCGTAGGTCCGAGGAACGCAAAGAGGACGCCGAGGCATTCGTAATGGCTATAACGGAAGTGACGCGCAACATTTCCAAATTGTTGCACAACACCAACGTTCCCATCCGGATGTCTGTCAATGATGTGCACAGGCACAGGGAGAAAGTGGTATGCGATTTGTGCCGTAGATTCAAAGATTCAACCCTAAAGTTGTAGACCACTGCCACTTATCGGGCCGATTCAGACAGACGTTGTGCAATACGTGTAACCTGAAAGTGAAAGTCAACTTTGTGCCGTGCTTCTTACACAATCTTTCAGGTTACGACGCGCATTTCATCGTCCCTGAATTGAGGTATGACGGCCAAAGGATTTCGGTCATATCGAAATCCGAGGAGAAGTATATTTCAGAAGTTATTGGTCACAAACCGTTTAGGCTCCTCAACCCTCGTGATTACAGCGACCTATAATTTAAGATCAAAGTTTGAAGAACGAGTTTAGCATCCATATTTTATTCAGCTTCATTGACTAAGTTTATCAGCGTTTCAATATTATTAACTTGTTCATTACGCTTAAATATACTACGTTTATGAGCGCGCTCCGTTCGTTCGATGTCACCAACAGTCAATGGCATAATGACAACAAATTGTATACTGGCTTACGTAAGTAAATTTCATATTTAAGTAATGTTTAAGAAAATGAGTACTACTGAACCGACAAAATATCAAAATAAATAGGAACTGCCAGCCAAGCTAAAGGTACATAGATTTACAAAAGCTAAACGATCGATAAAAATAATTGATGAAGATAAACAGTAGTAATTGTTTACTTAAATCATTATTATTGACTATTAACTATGTATAGATTATACTTATGAGCGATAAAAGTGAAAGAACTAACGATAATAATCTACACACTATTAAAATCCGATAACAGCACAATCAATTATATACAGGTTGATACATATATTTATGCACAATGAAGTATTTTCCCGATCACACCGATTAATGACCTTACTTTTTTCTCATAACGTTAAAAACTTTATGATCAGGAATTAAGAACTTCTGACCTTTGAACGTTGGTAGTATGCGGTGTTTTTAATTGTTGATAAACAGTACGATAATAGAATGGAAGAAAACAATAATAGATTAATTATATGTACATTAAGGAAATTACTGATCGATAATTATAAAAATAATTTTAATAGAACGACGAAACAAAATTAAGAGGATCACTATGGCGGTATGAAGGATCAAAATGTTTCAGTGTTCCTTTAACTTAAATTGAAAAGGAGTACACTACAGGAATGTCAGGAATAGACAAATATAATATAGAAAATTGTGAAAGGTGTTGAGAGTATTTATATATTAATACTTCAATGTAAGAATATTGTACAAACATAAAATATCATTAAACTTAATGTTAGTAAAACTTAACTAAAATAGGAATATATGTATATACATTGACAGATTATTTAATAGTAATTTAAAATGATACAGTAAAGGTGACCTGTATATCCACAGATGACAGCGTCCTGGTTTGCAGCAAGTTTGTATGTCTTGCTAATGACCGGAAAAACGACGATTAACCTTGTCCAAAATTTAGTGTGTTTTGGGTATCTCTTTATATGTAAAGAACCGGCGTGCGAAATTATGAGTGTATATACACCCTTTTGCGATAGTTCAAAATGAACACAAAAGAAAAAAAAAGAAACGATAATATACCGTTCAATTTGGTATCAACGACACTCGAGCGAGCGAAATAATAATTACTCGTTTTAACGAGTCGCGTGGAACTCGTCCAGTTATTTTTACAAGCGGTCAGTCACATATCGATGGGGCGGTCACAACAAAGACACCATATGTCTGTGTACGCAACAACTCCTTCATATACCTGCTCAGAGTCAGCGACTTCTACCAGGATTTAGCTGACAGTCCCGATTTACTGGTGCACGTGGACGCATCTATCCTGTCCAAGGATTGCCCTTGCTACTCCACCGATAGAAAGAAGATGCCCGGCTTGTTTTCAGACGAGATCGATGGCCTCACTCTCTTTGAGATCGCTGCACTTCGATCAAAGTGCTACGCATATGACATGGAAGGTAGCGAACTCATCAAGTCTAAGGGGATCCGCGGACACGTCGTCCGGACCCATCTGTCATTGGACGATTACAAACGGTGTTTGTTCAATATCGATGGTGATGGCGACGATGCGTCGAAAAGAGCATTGGCTGGAGAGAATGCCCGTGCGGTCATCGGAGTGATAGGTGGTGGTGAACAACATCCATCATCGCTACCGTACACTCAGTGCCGGCAGATCGTGTCAATTCGTTCGCTTGAGCACGAGGTACGCACTTTACGCACAACCAAGTTGGCGTTAAGTTTCGACGTTAAGCGCTACACGCTCGACAACAAAATCAACACGTTGGCCAACTGGAATAATGCTATACTACCACCGGAGGATCTATAGTTTTATTTAGTTTTTAAGTTATTATCATTGTAAAAAATATTGCCAAGAATTGAAAATATATTTTGTAAATATACATGCATTAGTATATAAGTAGTTTTAAAACATTTTTTTAATGTAACATAATATAGTAAGAAATTGTATTTTTTCTAAAAAATATATGTATATACGTATGCATATCTGTTAAATATGTATATATACTACAATGTTTTTCTCTTTTTTTTGTATGGTACAGTACAATAGTTGTGAATATGTACGTGTAAGTATGCTATAGTATTTAAGCTATAGTTACGTAATGAGATGACACATTTTGTATGTAAGGTATGAATTATTATCCTCTAAAGAATATCCTACGGTATTTTAAATGCATAAAATATCAATTAACATACGGCTAGGTTTATAACCTTTCTAAAGAATTAAGAAGAATAAAAATTTTATAGAAACATAGTTTTTTTATATGATTTTATTAGAGAAATATAATCCTAGATAATAATCATTATTTTAGACATTATTCTTTAAACGTATTTATAGTTTTTGTATCCACTAATATTTTAATTACGAATTTTGTTAAAAATGAGATTCTCACTCTGTCTCAGTATAAGTATGTATTAATAATAACAACACTATTTTGTCAACACAACATACGTTTATTTTGAACAATTTTTTTATAAATTATATACATGCTTTAGATACTAGTCATTTTACGACATATAGCTATTACTAACAATTACTGTTGGTATTTCTTGGTTGATTGTACTTGATGGTATGATTGTTTCCGACTGTATATTTGCATCTGTTGTATCATCGGCTAGCGGCCGAAAATATGTTGAGCATACGTTTTCTCCATTAGAAGACTAAAAAAATTATGTATATTTATTAAATACGTTCTACTGAATTAAAAAAAAAAAAAATGTAACTCACCCTTTGTTTAGTATATGCTTCCAGCATCGTCCACCGTTGTGCCAACTGCTGGTTCGCAAATTGTTTTATTTGGTTTATGTAGCGCAAATCACTATTGGGTAAACTGTTTTTTATTTTTTTATTTTATAATTTCACGGGCAGAAGCCCTTTTTACAAATAATACAAGTACATAAATTAGGTTATTGTAACATAGAAAGATATATACTAAAAATATGCAAATTAATTATTAAACGTAAAGAAAAAAAAAATAAAAAATGAAAATGAATTTAATTATAAAACATAAGGAAAAATACAAAAATTAAAATGAAAAGTTAGGGTCAACATTGGCATTAGTCATAAGACGCCTAAGTGGCTCATTTTTTGCATAATTAGTTAGGCAGTGAGGGACAACAAATGGAGCATTATTTCTTGTTGCGCGCTGAGGTACTCTGAAACATATGAGGGACAACAGGCTCGGCGAATCAATATTACCATTCAATAAACCAATTAGGAAATTAATTCCAGCATTGCGCCTACGCGCAGCTAATGAGGATAGGCCAAGCAAATACGAGACAGGGGCATAATCGTGGTTTGGACAGACTATGTTGAGCGAGTAGCTGACAAAGCGTAGGAACTTTCGCTGAACTCGCTCAAGCTGTAGCGAGCCCAAGGCAGTATAAGGATCCCACACTACACTACCATATTCTAGAATATGTCTGACTATAGAACAGAATAGCACTTTAGGTGAAAGTCCTTGCTTGAAATCTTTGGCCAAACGCATAATAAAGCCTAACGCTTTAAAAGCTTTACAGCAAACATAATCAATATGAAGCATAGGATCAAGATTATAACTAAACTTAAAGCCTAGATCTGTAATAGAGTTTAACTCACGCGAGATATTTACTGCAGTAATACTATATTGAAACACAATAGGATATTTTGTTCTATGATACGTAAAGACCTTGCATTTGGTTAAATTAAGTGACAATCCCATTGACTTTGACCATTTAGAAAATCTATTAAGGTCATCCTGTAATTTCAAACAGTCATCGGTCGAGCTTACACGCATAAATAGTTTGATGTCGTCGGCAAAACAAAGAAAATGACAATGGTGTAAAACTTTATGCACACAGTTTAAGAATAAGGAAAATAGAATAGGGGACAAGTGACCTCCCTGGGGGACACCAGAAGACGCTAAAAATACATTAGACTTAACGCCGAATACTTTTACCCATTGGTATCGATCACAAATATAGGAACTAATCCAAGAAAGTAGTGGTTCACCAAAACCATATTGTCTAAGAACAGTAATAAGGGTCGTATGATCCACAGAGTCAAATGCTTTACTGAAATCATTGTATATAACATCTACTTGTAATTGATTTTGGAAAGCATTAAAAATATAGTTGGTGAACACAAGATTACAGGTGGAAGATGAGCGACCCGGGCGAAAGCCATGCTGTTCTTCCATTAAAATGTTATTAACAGGTCTTTGTATTCCATTAAGTATAAGCAATTCAAATATTTTTGATATGTGGGACTGTACAGCTATAGGGTGGTAATTTGAAATAAGACTAGGGGAGCCCGTCTTGAATACCGGTGTAATGGAACTAAGTTTAAGCATAGATGGAAATGATCCTTCGTCTAAGGAACGCCTAAATAAGATCCATAGAGGATATGCCAATAATTCCCTTAGTTCATATAAAAATGTACCAGATAAGCCATCTGGACCCACAGAACCAACACATCGTAGGTTTGATAATTTATGGTAAACATCATCAACACTGAAGTATACGTTGTTAGGAAGGTCAAAGGTGAGAATATCTAGTTGGTCAATTAAGACATTATTTTTCTTAACACTGTAAACCGAAGAAAAGAAGTCAGAAAATAGATTTGCAGACGAAATCTCATCGGAAGAGCAGACGTCGTTGTAGGACAAAATTTTAGGTAAATTACAAGATGACCGTTTGCTATTAACATATTTCCAAAATTCATACGGTTTATCTTTGAGTAGTTTTTCAGCATCACTAATGTGTTCACGATAGCATTTTTTAGAAGTATGCTTAAATTTGGCACGAAGAAATGAAAATCCTTTATAGCATGACATGTTGGAAGAGAACTTAAACTTAGCATGAGCTTCCCTTTTTTGACGCAGTATTATTTTGAGCTCAGCACTAAACCAAGGAGGATAAGTGGGTTCATAAAATCTACATTGAGGAACAAAATCAAGAATAGATTTATGCAGAGCATCATAAAATATATTAGTAGCGGTGTTAGCATTGTGAGGGAGAAATGTGTTATACCAGTCGTAAGAAGAGATAAATTGCCGAATACTATTGTAATTAGCTCTCTTGAAATTATGGAACAGATGGTTGCGATCGAATCTAGGAAAACAGAAATTGGTGTTTAAAATTAGATTTAGTGCAGGGTGATATGCGTCAACAGGCACAAGTGGATCACAAGATTTTTCAACACTTAACTGCTTATTAGAGCTAAAGATTAGATCCAAAATATTATTAGAGGCATTACGTATGTCATTGGCTTGGAAAAACCCACTTGTTGCGAATGATTCAGGCACACATGGCGCGTGAGGTGATGAGGAATGAGAATAAGATAATCCATTACTATCATTGTCCCAAGAGATCTCAGGGAGATTGTAGTCACCACAGATAATAAAAGTGTGATCAGGATACTTTGTTACCAAAGATTCAACGGCATTTATATGTGATTCATAAGTATTAGGGAGAGAATGGGGAGGCATGTAGACACCGCCAATAATATAGTTCAAGGTACCAACAGTAAGACGAACAAAGACGTGTTCAACATTCAATTGTTCAACTAGGATGGGGTAGGAGTGAATACCTTGGCGAATGCCAATGAGGACTCCACCACCACGATTACAATTACTAGTAAACGTACATCTGTCATATCTAAAAATATTATAGTTAAAAAGATCAAGTTCAGAATTAGAAAATTGACTAGTGAGCCAAGTTTCAATGAGTACAATGAATAAACAATCTAAAGAAGAAACATTACAATTAAAATGAGTTAGTTTTGATCTGAGTCCACGACAGTTTTGGTAGTAACCAGACAGTGGACCATGAAAGATCGTCGGTGTTATGAGCGGATGCGCAGTTGGGGTCCTCCGTTTTTTGAAAGAATTTTACCTACTTTCGGCAACCCATTTTCAAATAAAATTCGCAGGCCAGGTTCGCCTTCGTTGGTTCTTCGGACAAGCTCCAAGTGACACTCACGCAGCAACTTGCGTTGCAAATTTGTTTTATCGCTGACTATTCGAAAGCCATCAGGAAAGGAACAACCCGAGCGCCTTGCTGTGTTGTAGGCCGATAATAAGTGCATAGCGGACTGCTTATTATCGAAAATAGCTTTAATTGGGCGAGGTGTATCTGCACGAGCTTTACCGATGCGAATGAGTTTTGGATTTTGTGGAACAGAATCACCAAGAGATTGAAGTATATTCTGTACCGTCAGTTTATCATGTGCAACACGCTCAGATGCGATACCAGAAGACAGATCAGAAACTCCATAAAATATTAAATTAGATTGACACTTTTCCCGTTCAAAAATTTCTTGAAGGGCTTCAATCACAACCGTTTTTGGTAGTTCCTCGGAATTATTAGATTCGAGACGAGCAACTTTTTGCCTTGAGAATATCAACTTCTTTACATAACCTTACATTCTCGGCTTTCAACTCAAGCATTTGGTTGGAAATGCGAGTGAAATCCGCCTTAAGATCACGACACTGTTTGTCTTGAAGTTCAGAAAGCGCTTTGTTAGAAGTCAACATTTCCTTCTTAAAGTCTTTCAATGCACCCATCAAGTCTTCATTAGAGATAGGGGTAAGTACTTTACTACCAGAAGCCTTTAATGTAGCTTTAAACGGAGTATCCTGTTTTAAAGGCATAGTGATTTTTAGAGATATGAGATGTAATTGAATTGATAAACGACGATGCCTAGCGTTGAAGTCTCCAGTAGGTTTGACTAACGAGATGGATACCACAATTATAAACAAAATAAAGCACAAATTGAATAATGGTGAAACCCAGCGTTAAAGTTCCCAAGTAAACAGCTGATCAGCAGTTTTAGAGAAATGTAAAATAAAATGTATGAATTTATAAAAGTGATAATGTACCAGTTTGTCAGACGAGCCGAAAAACACAAAACCATAAATATATGAAAACCGCGATACTAGTGCACAAAAATATCCGAAACGACAATCGATTAAACACAAAAGTCTAATTAATAAATAAAAACAAACTACGGGTAAATTAATCCACAAATTACAAAACAAATATTAATTACAAACAAGAGCAAATATGTACTATATCATCGATATAGTACATAGTACATGATATAGTTTTTAATCGTATAATCCGAAACCGCATTGATCAACATACATTTTTTTTCCACATTTACTTCATACTGTGATTTCATATATTGAGCCATCTTCTCCAACCATTGTAGAACTAATGATTGAATTACAGTCATCTTTTGATTGATAGCCTCGAAGATACAACATTCCAAAGGACTGAGTTTTAAAATGTCTGATCGGGTGAGTAACACTCGGCATTCATCTTGTGCTTGTGATTCAAAGACTAGCGAAGACTCTCCTTGAAACGTAGTCTTTGAGAGTGTACGTATTCATCCTCGAGTAAAATAATCTTTTGTCTTGATACCGGGTCGAGAATTAGTGACAGAATATTACCCATTATCGACTCAATTTAATTATTTCTGTTATACTAGTTATTATTGTTATAATATTAGGGTTGGGTTAAAGAATCATTCTGTAGAATTTTAAGAAAACTACTGACACATGATAAGGCTATCAATTACAATTTAACTGGCCATAAAGGTCAAGGAATAAAAGTAGTATTAAACAAAACTATTTTGTTTAAATTATTAATTGGTGAGAAAATTTAAAATGGTTTATAATTCTCTAGTCTTCTTATTAGAATATTTTTGATATTTGTTACAAGGGCTGTTCAGAAACCATTCAATGTGTCTAATAAAATTATAGAAACTATTTGTGCTAAAAGTATTTGTCCTTCAAAGGCCAATGAATGAAGTGAAAATAAAAAATATTCAGATGATAACATTTAATTTTAATTTTTACATGTATACTTTATTTGAGTCTTTTATACGACTTGGAACAAGTTTACATAAAATAAAAAAACGATAGAACAGTGTGGTCGAGGCACAGTGTAGACGAGTCATAGATGGGATAAGTATAGTCGATATCTGACAGTGATTTAAATCACTATCATAAAAACGCTTCGATGCGAATCTGTAGATAGTGTTTCATTTAGAGAAATTGGTGGATTATTCCAAAAGCAACATCAACTCTTATTTCTTTGATTATATCCTGAGTAGTAGTTCTTTGATTTTAAAATATAATATATGAATAAATACTAATTATAATTATAAAATTTAGTATGAAATTGATATTCAATAATTTAATATTTTAATTTATAAGGAGAAATTATAAAAATAATAATGAAGTTATATTTTGCTTTACTTTTTCGAGTATAAAAATTTAAAGGGCTTGATACAATATTTTTCAATAAAAACTGTTTGTTACTATAAAAAAAAGTACTGGACTACAAGGGATTTTCATCAGAAGCAAAAATATACTTTTCTATATCAACTTTTCGCGTTGTTTTCAAATCTTCAATTAAACTTTTGCTATCACTTCTAATTTTTTATATTATTNGCGTTGTTTTCAAATCTGCAATTAAACTTTTTCTATCACTTCTAATTTTTTATATTATTACTAATTACATATAAAATAATAATTAAAAGAAAAAAAAATTTGTTTTTAAATTATTACTGATTTTGATTTTTAATATGTTAAAAATAATCAGTCCAAATTTTCATTTTTAACCTATATTTTTGGTTCTTTAAACTTCGTGAAAAATTTTTTATAAAGTTTTGTAAAAGTTTATAGAAAAAAATTGAATATGTTACCATAACTTTTAGCTCAATTACAAGTATGAAATTGACATCATTAAATAGAAAATATTATGAGAATTAAAACAATGGTATCGTTAAGATTAATATGCAGTTAAGAAGTTTTATAATTACTATTTATAGTAAATTTATCAGAATAGCTCAATATTTTTTTGCATTTTTATCGTAATAAATAACTGAAATAGAAATAATAGTAATCATTACCTAGTAACTTTTGGTGTTTAAAAAGATTCTACAATTGAAGTATTCAGAACTTGATTAATTTTAATGATTTACTTTAACTAAATGAATCAATTNTAATGATTTACTTTAACTAAATGAACCAATCAAAACGAAGTTGTTAAAAAGATTTACTTAATTGAGCGTATAATAAAATTTGATTATAATTGTAAAAATCTATCATTAATTCAGGAAAAACTAACAATCATTTTTTTTAGAAATGATTTATATAGCAACATGTTACCAAAAAATTTGTAATATTATAGTCTAGTAGTAGCACACACAAACAGAGTAAAAAAAGTAATTAAATTACAAAGTAAAATTATTTAATTTTTTATTTGAAACCTATCATATTAAATTATCATATCAAACGTGATTCGTCAATAAATATTTTGAAAACATTAATAATGAATGATTTTAATAGTCTGTATGGAGAACATGGGATAAGTAACTGTTTAATTGATAAATTAGAATTTTTTTTCAATTTTTAATGTTAATATTTTCAACTAGATAAGAATTTTATTCAATTGACGTATAGTTGAAAAAAGTAGGTCAAGTTAGAGCAGAGAAAATAAATGATAGTGTAGCGACTAACGTCGTAATCACAGAATAAAAGCAATCAAACGGCCAGACCGTTGTATGGATGGCGTAAAGCCGTTTAATCGAGTAAATTGTTGCACAAAACAAAAGAAATAATAAAATCGAACCAGAAAAATAACCAAAATTAACAATAATAATAATATTGACAAAGTCGCACTGGATGGTTGCGGTTGAATTTTTTGACGGGCGGCGTAAGTACAGAGATAGATGTCACGAAGATGACTGACTGGACGTATTATTGCGGCGGGGTATGCGACGCTAGGCATTTGTTGGACTTTACACCACGACGATAACGCGTGTGTGTGACGGTCCGGTTTACAGTTAAGCGGTGGCTGAGAAGGAGCTGACACGACCGCGGGGTGTCAACGTGTGACAACGCCGTGGCCGTGTCAATAGTCACAAAAAAATACCTTCTCAGCTTTGTATCGAAACTAAAAATTAAAATATAGTAAAATAATTTTAATATGAATAAAAAATTTCTTCTTGTGAGGGGTGACTACAGTGATGAGATCCTTGATTTTATTGAATCTAAATGAGACAAAAATCTCAATGAGAAAAAATGCAAAAAAATTTCTTGCCAAACGCGGGTTGGAACCTTGTACCACAAGCGCTTAAAATACAAGTTATACTGACTCGGCAACCGTAAATTGCTAACGTCGGGTGAAAAAAATTGTTATTTAAGTAAGGTTAAATTTCAAAGTTATTTTTCTCGACTTCAAAAAAGCAAAAAATTTTAAGTTTAACTTTCTATGCTATATCAATTTTATTTATATAATATTTATGAAAAATCTGTGTACTCCCCTTGTCAGGTATTTTAAAATAAAATACTAGAATTTTAACACAAAAATATCATATTTTTGAATACGGTAGTCATTTTTACCATGAAGACAANAAAAATTTTAAGTTTAACTTTCTATGCTATATCAATTTTATTTATATAATATTTATGAAAAATCTGTGTACTCCCCTTGTCAGGTATTTTAAAATAAAATACTAGAATTTTAACACAAAAATATCATATTTTTGAATACGGTAGTCATTTTTACCATGAAGACAAATCCAGAGGTTATTTTTTTTTTTTAAATTAATGTACTTTAATTTAAAAATATATAATAGTGTCAGTATTTCTGGAACACTTTCAAAATTTAAATTGAAAATGTCCTAGTTTCAATACGCATGTTTAAAGTTTTTACACCCCTTGTATAAAGGGGTATGATCCGATTTACAAAAAAAGTGTCAGATGAAAGGGGTATATAAAAATTTATTATAAAAAAACCCAGCACAGTGAGGTCGCGGTACAGTGGGGACGTGGCATAATTGGGTCCAGTATAGATTTAATCTGACAGTGATTAAAATCACTATCATAAGAAATGCTTCGATGCAAATCTGTAGATATTGTTTAATTTTAACAATATGGTGGATAATTACAAAGCAACATTAACTTCTATTTCCTTAATTATATCCAGATTAGTAATTCTTTTACTTATATATTATATAATTTTTATAATAAATTGTTTTCAAATTATTATTGATTTTTAATATGTTAAAAGTAATAAAGTTTTACCTACTTTTTTTTGCCGAGNTTTAAATTGAAAATGTCCTAGTTTCAATACGCATGTTTAAAGTTTTTACACCCCTTGTATAAAGGGGTATGATCCGATTTACAAAAAAAGTGTCAGATGAAAGGGGTATATAAAAATTTATTATAAAAAAACCCAGCACAGTGAGGTCGCGGTACAGTGGGGACGTGGCATAATTGGGTCCAGTATAGATTTAATCTGACAGTGATTAAAATCACTATCATAAGAAATGCTTCGATGCAAATCTGTAGATATTGTTTAATTTTAACAATATGGTGGATAATTACAAAGCAACATCAACTCCTATTTCCTTAATTATATCCAGATTAGTAATTCTTTTACTTATATATTATATAATTTTTATAATAAATTGTTTTCAAATTATTATTGATTTTTAATATGTTAAAAGTAATAAAGTTTTACCTACTTTTTTTTGCCGAGACACAGTGTAGACAAGGCATAGATGGGACAAGTATAGATGATATTTGACTGTGATTAAAATCACTATCATAAGAAATAATATATTCTCCNCTGTGAT